TCCGTCGAGTGTCCTCTGCCTGTCCAGCCGCAGTCCCAGTTACCGCCTGCCTCGCCTCTTCCTGCTCCCTCCCCTTACGCTGGTCCCACAGGAGGTCTTACAGAGCGTCGTGAGCCTGAGTCTCGTCCTGCGTCGCCTGTTCATACTGCTCGCACTGGTCGTCGTGTCCCACGTGAGCGTCCTCCTCCTGTCCCTGGCACTCACTACATGACTCTGCGTCCCTCCACTGCTCCGCAGCGTGTCCCGCTGCCGTCTCCTCCTGCGTCCTCCCTTCCTACTCTTCCTGACCCGGAGTCTGACTCCCGTCGTGCTGCCAGTCCCACTGTTACGCGTCTCCTCGCTACAGTTGTCACTGACCCGACCTTTGAGTCCTCTGCTGCGTCTGCCCTGGTCGCTGAGTTGGTTGACTTTGCTGCTCGCTGTCGCCTAGACTACGCTGCCAGCCTTGTCGCTAGGTCTGAGTCTGCGTCTGCCTGTCCTCCGTCCGTCGGGGGTGAGTGTGCCCTCGGCACGGACGTCCTTGAGGACAGACAGGAGGAGTTCCACTGCCTTGCTGCTGCTTTGCCCCGTCTCGTGTCCTTGCTAGTTGCCCCTGAGGGAGACCCGGATGCACCAGACATCCCGACCCCACGCTCTTACGCTGAGGCGATGGTGGGTCCCTACTCCTCTCAGTGGCAGACAGCCATGGACGCAGAGATGGCCTCCTGGAAGTCCACAGGCACCTACGTAGACGAGGTTCCCCCTCCTGGGGCGAACATCGTCAGTGGCATGTGGATTTTCAGGGTGAAGCGGCCTCCGGGTTCTCCACCTGTCTTCAAGGCGCGCTACGTGGCTCGAGGCTTCAGTCAGCGAGAGGGAGTAGACTTCTTTCAGACCTTCTCCCCCACCCCGAAGATGACTACTCTTCGGGTGCTGCTGCACATAGCCGCTCACCGCGACTACGAGCTTCACTCTCTTGACTTCAGCACTGCTTTCTTGCAGGGCAGCCTGCACGAGGAGATCTGGCTACGCCGCCCCCCTGGCTTCACTGGGTCATTTCCTCCTGGCACCCAGTGGAGGCTTCAGCGGCCGGTCTACGGTCTCCGCCAGGCGCCACGTGAGTGGCACGACACACTGAGGACGACACTTGCGGCTCTTGGGTTCGCTCCCTCTACTGCTGACCCGTCGCTGTTTCTACGCACCGACACCTCGCTGCCGCCGTTCTACATCCTCGTGTACGTCGACGACTTGGTCTTTGCCACTGCTGACACCGCGGCACTCGCTCACGTGAAGTCGGAGCTGCAGAGGAGACACACGTGCACAGACCTGGGTGAGCTGACGAGCTATCTTGGCTTGCGGATCACCCGGGACAGAGCACGGCGCACCATCACCCTGACTCAGTCACACATGGTGCAGCAGGTCCTCCAGCGCTTCCGCTTCACGTACTCCTCGCCTCAGTCCACTCCTCTGCCTACCGGTCACTCGCTCTCAGCTCTGCCTTCGGATGAGTCCGTAGAGCCGAGTGGCCCGTATCCAGAGCTTGTGGGCTGCCTCATGTACCTGATGACCTGCACTCGACCTGACCTTGCATACCCTCTTAGCATCCTAGCACGCTATGTCGCTCCTGGCCGTCACCGGAAGGAGCACATGGATGCTGCTAAGAGGGTGTTGCGCTACTTGTGCAGTACGTCGGGCATGGGGCTTGTGCTTGGAGGGCGAGACCAGGTTGTTCTCACAGGGCACTCAGACGCTTCTTGGGCAGACGACCAGGCTACTCAGCGGTCGTCTCAGGGTTACACCTTCAGCCTTGGCTCTGGCTCAGTTTCTTGGCGTTCTACTCGCTCTTCTTCTGTTCTCAGCTCCAGTTGTGAGGCTGAGATCTACGCCACAGCCATGGCTGCTCAGGAGCTACGCTGGCTGACCTACCTGCTGACCGACCTCGGAGAGCGGCCTCGTTCTCCTCCAGTGCTGTACGTCGACAACAAGGCTGCCATTGCCTTGTGTGAGGAGCACAGACTGGAGCACAGAACGAAGCACATCGCTCTGCGGTACTTCCTTGCTCGAGAGCTGCAGCAGCGTGGTCAGCTTTGTCTGCGTTACGTGGCCACGGAGGCCAACACTGCTGATGTGTTCACCAAGGCGCTTCAGCCTTGTGACCATCAGCGCTTTTGCACTCTGCTAGGCCTTGTACCTACTGGGCCTCACTTGCTTACCTCTTGACCTTACTTGTACTGTGATCACTATATATATATGCCTGCATGTTTACACTTGCTAGGTTGTTATCACTGTATCTCTTGTTATATTATCAACCTGCATGTGAACTGGTCTTGTGACCACTTGCTTGTGCTCGGAATTTGTGTGGTATCCTTGAGATCCACCCTGAGCTTGTTTTGCTTTGCTTTGACTGGTCTTGTGACCCTGTGGTTGTTTCCCACTGCGCCTATGGGGGTGTGTCAAACATTGCATGTTTATATTGTCTAGGCTGTAGTGGGTTACACCTTAGGGGGTACACAAAGTTAGGGTTTCCTACTTGTACCAAACTCTGTTCTAGTTCATTCATTCCTGCTCAGTTATTTCTGACAACCTCGGCACTTCGGCGCGCTCTACGCATGCTGAACCCCTGCCGCCCAACTGCCTCGCTGGGAGATATTCTGTTCCGGAAAATGGGTACCAGGTCAGCTTTCCCAGAGCTGACTCTCACGTCGGTGGTCCTCCACCAAATCTGGGTGGAAAGGTGCGATGCAGTATTTCGGGGGCAAAAATTCCGGACCAAACGGGTATTGTGGAAGGCGGAGGCTGCTTTCAGGCTACACGCGAAGATATACATGCAAAAAATGGGGGCATCACGGAAGAAGCGGCTCCGGGAAAATTTTGTGGAAGAGCAGAAAATGCTGAGCAAGATCAAGATGGATGGCAGGAGCTGGACATGGAGGCCTGCCTTTGCTGCGCTATGGTCCACGCGAAGGGCATGCAACATCTCGCCCTAGGCAGTTTTCACCTGGAACAGTAGATGGGCTGCTGTCCCTCACGCACGGTTACGACCGTTTGATGATAGATGCTTGCTGTACCGGTGTATATTATCAATCATACAAAAAAAAAAAAAAAAAAAAAAAATCCGTAGCCTTGTTGATGGTTGGTCTTTAGTACTCCTGAGAGTCGCAGTCTCGTTGGTCGGTACGGACGAGCGATGCCACGTGGTGCTCTTTCATGTCGCGGCACGTTCAGGCACGACGTAAATCGCCGGGCAGATGAAAGAAGTTTGCGCGTTGCACTCGAAACGACCTCGGGGGAATCGAGCATGTTTTCCGCATGCTTTTCCGCGATTCCACCAGGAAACAAAGAGCCTGTCACAGTATCGGGAATTCGCGGTTCCCGTCTATTTCAAGTAACCAATACTTGGTATTTCTTCCTCAGTCAGTCCACAGTATGTAATAATCCAGCAGCAGGTGCGATGGACGGTCCAGATTTTCTCTTCCACGGGCGACACGTCGCTCCCTTATTTCCGTCGCCGCACGATTCGATGGACACGTCGCGATGGGCCAAGATGTCGCCGTGGCATCGCACGGCGATGGATCCTCTCGCGTCGCCTTTGCTCAAAGTTTCGCCCGGACGACGTGGTGAGATGCGTCGCGAGGAGGCTATGCGACACCAGGATGTCGCAGGGCATGCTGGCGACGCGGAGCAGACGGCAGACGGGGAGCAGGCGACGCAAGCGAAGCAGGCAGCAGAAGGGGAGCAGGCGACGCAAGCAACAGCAGAGAAAACAATCGCAGGAGGAGCAGCACGAACAACAGCAGCAACAGCAACAACAGAAGGAGGGGGGAAATCTGTTTCAGAAGAAGAACCAGCAGCAGCATCAGCAGCACAACCAGGGAGAGGGGCAGCAGGAGCAAGAGCAGCATAAACAGAGACAGGCAGCAAGGGGACAGGGGCAAGAATATGCTGTGCATCATGCCAAGAATTCAGCAGCCACAGCAGTCGCAGCAGGTACTCGAGCAGAACCAACGAAGCAGCCACCTCAAAAGCAGCCACACCAGCAAAATCAGCTACAGCAGAGCCAGAGGTCTCACCAGGATTCTTCCATGCAGCAAAACTGCATTTAGAATTAGGCAACACAATTAGGGAGTTTCAGAAGCTGGTAAGGGACATGGAGGAGAGGCTTGGTGATTAGAGGTTCCGACCGAGGCAGGTTGGTTTCCGAGGCTAAGGAGAAGCTGGACGGTTTTGAGTGGACTTCTAAAGCTGGACAAGCTGCAGTCTTCTGACGAGATTGGATGAGAGCAAAAAAAAGAGTTGGCCGGGCAGTTGAATAATTAGCTTGAGGCAGGCACTCAAGATTAGGCTTCATAAAGGTCTAGCTGCATTATGCTGCTGCTGAGTCCGTGTGCAATGCATGTGCTGACTTTCCGGGCACTTTTGATTACCTGTGTACGGCAGACAGCAATTGTCTTAGAAGTATTTCTTCCTTGAAGTGTAATTCCACTCCCATCGAAGCTGAATATTCATTTTCTGGAAACTCCAATACATAAGAGAAGCTATAGTGGTACACCAAAGCTGCAAGTTGCTGCATCGTCATTACATTCTCAATGTCGTGTATCCGCTTTCGAGCTGTGAACTAAAAGCGAATCCTTCTACAATGCGAAGCAGGACCACCTGGCTGATCCATAGCATGGCAGGCCAGCATCTGTCTGGCGCTGAAAGGAATTCTAGAAGGCTGTTTGGATTCCATATTTCTCAGACCGCAGATTCCACCCTATCGCGTGCGTTCCCGCCGGCTCTCGCGTTTGCGTTTGCATTTTCCTAGCGATCGTTTCTCGCGCTTCCTCGTATCGCTCGCATTCCTCGAATTCACCACGCGTGCTCGAATTCCAGGAGGTTCTCTGGCCTCCTCTCTTTTGAAGAATCGGTTGCTGAATTCGATGCTCCTTCCTATTTCGTCTTTGTAGCCGTGCTTCGTAGTATATAAACTACTTTTGCTAGGTGCACCTTGATTTTAATCTACGTTTCCTTAATTCCCCGTTATGGCGGGAAAACGAATCACCTTACGCGTACGGAGCCGCGACGGCCTGGAGCGGGTCCAGCTGGACGAATCAGAGGCCACCGTTTCCGGCCTCCGCGCGCAAATCTCGCAGCAGCTCGCGATCCCATTGGCCGATCTGATCCTCTCTACGGACCAATCGCTTCTCCTTTCAGCCGACCCGGAGAAGTTTAAAGACTTAGCGGATCCATCCGTGTCGCTAGAGTCGCTAGGTATAGGCCATGGAAGCATAGTATTCGCGAAATACAGTGCTTCACGAACCGTCGCAGGGCCGCCTGTGCCTGTCGTTCCCGCGGGGTCGTTCGGGCGACACATGACGGTGAGCGACATGGTCGCGCGACAGATGCGAATCGAGCGACAGGAGACGTCGCACTGCCAGCAGGTGTCGTTCGATCGCGACGCTGCGAATGTGTTTCAGGTGAGGTTACAGTTACAGAAATTGAATCCTAGGGATCAGGATTGCTGTGAATCTAAATTGCTGTGAATCAGAATTGAAGTGATTTAAGCTCGCTTTATGTTCCTCCTCCCTTCCCAGCCTCAAGTCCCATACCCCCTCCTTCCTATACCCCCTCCCTCCCATACCCCCTCCCTCCCATACCCCCTCCCTCCCTCACACACCCTCCCCTCTCACTCCCAGCACTACGTGCATGACAGCCTGGCGTTTTCCATCAAGCGAGGCGGCTTCTTGTTCGGGGAGGTGCGGGAGGACTCAGATAAGAAGGGTTTCTTTACAACGAGATGCCCTGTAACGAGGACAACACTCCCTCCCATATTCTCTCTTTCTTCTCTCACTCCCAGCATTACGTGCACGACAGCCTGGCGTTTTCCATCAAGAGAGGCGGTTTTCTGTTCGGGGAGGTGCGGGAGGATGGGCACGTGCTGGTGGATTTCATATACGAGCCGCCTCAGCACGGCACAGAGCACACGCTGCAGATCTTCCCGAACGAAGGTGGGGATAGGCATGAGTGTATAGGCTCAGGGTCATACACACACTCACATACACGCACCTTCAAGGGAGGATGGGCACGTGCTGGTGGATTTCATATACGAGCCGCCTCAGCACGGCACAGAGCACACCCTGCAGATCTTCTCCAACGAAGGTGGGCTGCTGTTACTGTGCGGATGGGCATGCCGCTCGTGAGTCTACGTTTTCATTCACAGGAGGTGCGGGAGGATGGGCATGTGCTGGTGGATTTGAGAATTCTGAAGGGTGTTTTTGAGAATTCTCAAAAACACCCTTCAGCAGGATGGGCATGTGCTGGTGGATGTCATTTATGCGGCACCGCAGCACACCCTGCAGATATTCTCCAACGAAGGTGGGTGGGATTATGCATGTGCGAATAGTCACACACACACACAGACACACACACACACACACACAAACACACACACACACACACACACACGCGCGCGTGCATGTGCACACACACACCCTCACTCGCTCCTCTCCCTCCCCCCCAAGCAGCTTAAGAGAGGGAAGTGGCGGTGATAGCAGCAGGGCTGGGCATGCGCTGTGTGGGCTTCATCGTGACTCAAACCCTTGCAGAGGATCAACAAGCCCAAGAGCACTCCTTAACTCTCTCTGCCTCCCCTCACTCCGTCACTCCCTCACTCACTCCCTCACTCGCTCGCTCCCTCACTCGCTCTCTCCCTCACTCGCTCACTCCCTCACTCACTAGTATTCCTCCCTCACTTGCTCCCTCCCAAGCAGCGGAGGAGAGGGCAGTAGCGGCAATAGCAGCAGGGCTGGGCATGCGCTGTGTGGGCTTCATCGTGACTCAAACCCTCGCAGAGGATCAACAAGCTCAGGAGCACTCCTTAACTCTCTCTGCCTCCGACCTCCTCCTTTCGGCTAGGCTTCACTGCGCCACTGCTAGGGAGAGCAGCGGGGAAAAGGCGGCAGGGGAGGGGGAGGAGAGCGCTGGGGGGACAGGGAATGCGGGTGCGCAGGCAGGGGGGAGGGGGAACGGGGACGGTGCGGCAGGAGGGGAGGGAGAGAAGAAAGGCGGGGAGGAGGTAGGGGAGCCGTTTAAGTATTTTGCGGTAGTGCTGGTGAAACTTTTAGTGGATGAGGAGGGGGATGGAGGCGGGGACGTGCATTTTGAAGCCTTTCAACTAAGCGATCAGTGCTTGAAGCTGTACCGGGAAGGGTGGTTTGCGGGGGATGGGAGGGGGGAGGAGGAAGGGGGGGGAGGCGGGGGGAAGGATAAGGGGAAGGGGAAGGTTGGGGAGAAAGAGAAGGGGAAGAGTGGGGGGAAGGGGGGGAAGGAGGAGGAGGAGAAGGAGGTTGATCCGAAGGTGTCTAGAATGAGGAAAGAAGTGGTGGTGGCTGGGAGGGATACATACGAGGTGGATAACGACTTCTTCCTTATGCCTATTAAGATCGTGGACCACCAGGTGAGAGGGGTATTTGATGCATGCAGTGCCGATGTCTCTTGAGGTAAGACAACGGTGGTGGCTGCGAGGGACACTAAGGAGGTGGAAAACGACTTCTTCCTTATGCCTATTAAGATCGTGCACCACCAGGTGAGAGAGACGGGTGTTTGATGCATGCAGTGCATTTTGGTTCTCAGGCCAGGAAGTGGTGGTGACCGTGAGGGTCACATACGAGGTGGATTTTGGAAACCCACTCTTCTTGAATTTACTTCTGAGAATTCTCAGAAGTAAATTCAACAGAGGTGGGTTTTGGAAGACCACTCTTCTTCCGCAGAGCTGTCAGAAGCAGCATTTGGGCCTCGCTTGCTCCAAGCCATGGGCCAACCGCTGCCTTGCAGACTCTGATTCCCTCTCTTTGTGCCGAGGTGCCTTTTGAGTCGACTCAAAAGTCAGTGAGTCCCTCTCTCTGTGCCTTTTTTTCCCCCAGGGCCCTCTGACGACAGCTTTCCCTGTGGAGAACAGGGTGATTCTTCCCACTCAGAAGAACCTGAAGCAGCATTTGCTGTTGTTGATGTTTCCCATTCCCCTCTCCCCATTTCCCCCTATCCCTGCGTCATAGGTGACTTTTGAGTCGACTCAAAAGTCAAAAGTCACCTTTTGAGTCGACTCAAAAGTAAAAAAAGTCACCTTTTGAGTCGACGCATAAGTCAGAAGTCACCTTTTGAGTCGACGCAAAAGTCAAAAGTCACCTTTTGAGTCGACTCAAAAGTCAAAAGTCACCTTTTGAGTCGACTCAAAAGTCAAAAGTCACCTTTTGAGTCGACTCAAAAGTCAAGTGTCACCTTTTGAGTCGACTCAAAAGTCAAAAGTCACCTTTTGAGTCGACTCAAAAGTCAAAAGTCACCTTTTGAGTCGACTCAAAAGTCAAAAGTCACCTTTTGAGTCGACTCAAAAGTCAAAAGTCACCTTTTGAGTCGACTCAAAAGTCAAAAGTCACCTTTTGAGTCGACTCAAAAGTCAAAAGTCACCTTTTGAGTCGACTCAAAAGTCAAAAGTCACCTTTTGAGTCGACTCAAAAGTCAAAAGTCACCTTTTGAGTCGACTACTCCCTGTTTGCTCATAAGTTCCCCCTATCCCTGCGTCACTACTACCTGTTTGCTCCCCCCAGGGGGCTCTAACAACGTCCTTTCCTGTGGAGAATCGGGTGATTCTTCCAACGCAGAACGACCCGAAGCAGCATTTGGATCGCACCCGCTCCAAGCCATGGGCCGACCGCCTTGCTGACTCTTGAGTCCCTCTCTCTGTGTCTTTCTTTTCCTCAGGGCCCGCTCACAACATCTTTCCCAGTGGATAATCGGGTGATTCTTCCAACGCAGAACGACCCGAAGCAGCATTTGGATCGCACTCGCTCCAAGCCATGGGCCGACCGCCTTGCTGACTCTTGAGTCCCTCTCTCTGTGTCTTTCTTTTCCTCAGGGCCCGCTCACAACATCTTTCCCAGTGGAGAATCGGGTGATCCTCCCCACTCAGGACGACCTGAAGCAGCATTTGGACCGCACTCGCTCCAAGCCATGGGCCGACCGCCTTGCCGACTTTCACCTGCTGCTCTACCTCAGCAACTTCCTGGATGCTTCCACAGACATGCCTATGCTTGCACAGGCAGTTCGCACCAAGGAGCCCATTAGTGAGGGCCACCAGCTGATTATCGAGCACTTGGCTTAATTGTGCTGCTTATATGCTAGTGTAGTTATTGTACGAGTCCAACTAATCATTCTTTGCAAGCGGAGCATCTGGCCCATCAGTGAGGGCCATCACTCATTTTGGTTCAGGCCAAGCATCCAGCGAGCCAGTCAGTGAGTAATGGGCAAGCATGAACTGGGAATTTTGTGTGATAAATTGATACGTATTGACGTACTTAATTATCTGTTCAAATTTATGTGTTTCTTTGTACCGAGGATGCTTGTGCTCTGCAGTTGTCTGTTTCCCCACGCAATACCACATGGAGGGGTCCTCTCCGCTGACAGGCACCCTGTGTCCAGACCAGATGCCTTGGCGCATATGCGGGAATACAGTACCAGGCTGGCGGGGTCAACGCTGAGGAAATTGCGCGCCCACCCTGCAGTCACCTGTCGAGGGATTCTCATCGCACCGCACTGAAACCCGTCAGACAAAGATCCGACCGTAGCGAACCAAGCGTTGACTATTTGGGCTTGTTTCACCTTCGACCTTCCCCCCATCGCGCATTCCGCCTCTCTCAACTTTCGCCACCGCCGCGCAGCAAATTCACGCTTGCGCGAGTCTTCCCTCGCAGCTGTTCTGTAAGGGAAAAAAAGGGAGAGGGAAAAAAAGCGTACAGTACTCGTACAGTGCCCTGTGAGTCTCCTCCTTTCCCATGGCTGCCTTGCTTTTGGTCGAGTCAAACGTAGTGGGTCCGCTGCATTGAAACACGCGTTTCCAGACGCACCTAGAAAAATGTGGAAGTATGCGATTTGTTGACGACAGATGGTGGTAGCTCGATCGTTCCAATGCAAATAACATGGGAGAAGTAATCTCGGTAGCTGGTCTACTCCAGAAGTAGCGTTGAGTTTCGGTTGTTACTCCGTTACTCTCTACGGCTATTGCCGCCACGAAACAAGACTTGCATGCCACCCCGTCGCGTGCCATTTGTGTAATAAACTACGTTATTAGTCAGACATCTCAAGTATCAAACTATATGTGCAATAGACTTCAATGTTGCACAGTATTAAACCGTGTGCCAGACAATAGTCCGAATGTTCTAGGTTACAAAACCTTCTCGCTTGTTCTCGTGCAATCAGCAGCCTTCGCCCTTCTAAATCTATCCTCCACGTCCTTCCTTACAACTATCGTCCTCAATCCCCCCCTTTACGTGCAGTTTTTTTAGGGCAGATCGGAAATTCTCACTTCCCATCATGGCACCCGCTAACCCACCAGGACTCGGTGTAGATAAAAACTCGAAGAAAATAGGGAAGGGTGGGAAGAGACAGGTTAAGACGGTTGTTCCTGAAGCAAAGGTGATTCAAACGGATGTGGCGAATTTCCGGTCTTTGGTACAAGAACTCACAGGCGCAGCCACAGAGGCCGCGGATGGGGGACCCGCGCGCGGGTCTGGGGGGAAGGCGCGCGGGAGTGGGGTTGAAACAGGGGGAAGGGCACGCGGAGGCGGGGTTGAGCCTGGCGGCGGAAGGCCACGCGGAGGAGGCGGGGCGTCTGGCGGAGCGGCGCAACCCGCGGGCGCGGCGGTGCTTCCGCTCCAGATGCAATGGCAGCAGCAGCAAGAGCAGCAGAGGCAGGGACAACAGCAGCAGACACAAAAGAAGGCCGAGTCGGCTCAAAACCCGAAGGGAGCAGCGGCAGCGGCCCGTCCGCTGCATGTGCAATGTCAGCAGCAGCTGCAGCAGAGGCATGAACAACGACAACAACAGTCGTCGCAGCAGCAACAGCAGCAGCAATGCTTGGAGCAGCAGGTTCTGCAGCGTCAGCAGCTTCGGGCGACGAACTCAAGCGAAAATCAGCAGGTGGTAACCATTCCATGCGAAGCAGTAGAAGCCACAGATGAACACCAGCCGTTGCAGCAGCAGCCTGCAATAAACATTGAAGCTGCTCATATCGAGGCTGCTAATGTTGGAGCTTCTAATGTCAGAGCTGCGAATATCGGGACTGCTGATATTGAAGCTGCTAATACGGGAGATGCTAGCATCGAAGCTGCTTTTACCGGGGTTGCTACTAGCGGCGGAGATACAGCAAATCAAGGCCTTGCAGGCACCGGATTTGATGCATTGATGCACCAATCAACTGTAGGGAACGTTGAGACCGGAAGGACTGTATTAGAAACTTATGTAACGGGGAATCCTGTAACGGGGAATCCTGAAACAGGGTCTCTGGGAGCAGGAGATACATTAACAGATCATATCAAAACTGAACGTACAATAACTGGAACTTTGGGAACAGGAGATACAGTTTATGGGAATAGTGGAGGCGTGGCAAGCTCGAGGCTGGCAATGTGCCTCCAGCTGAATCCCGGCATTCTTTCGTTATTGTCACAAGCCATTAGTCGCAGAAAAGCGGCAGGAGAGCAGCAGCAGCAGCAGCAGCAGCAGCAGCAGCTTCCGTTTGAGGCGCCTCAGAAGCGGATGCGGGTTGATGAGCAAACAATGCAAGGACAGGGTCAGGAGCTTTTCTTTGAGGCGCCTCAAAAGCGGATGCGTGTAGACGAGCAGCAGCAGTTGGAGCAACATCATCAGCAGCAGCCGGAGCAACATTATCAGCAGCCGCTGCAGCAGCGGTTGGATCAACAGCAAGAGTTGGAGCAACAGCAGCAGGTGCAGCTGCAGCAGCAGTTGGAGCAACAGCAGCATCAGGCCCAGCAGAATATTGAGGAAAAATTTGCCCTAGGAGCTCTCGAGCGAGTTGGACAGCAGGCACAGGGGGAGAAGCAGCAGGCGCAGCAGCTGGAGCGTCAAACGCAGCCGAATGTTGAGGAAGTGTTTGATCTAGGAGCTCTAGAGCGAGATGTGCAGCAGGCACAGGGGGGGGAGGAGCAGCAGGAGGAGCAGCAGGAGGAGCAGCAGGAGGAGCAGCAGGAGCAGCAGGAGGAGCAGCAGGAGGAGCAGCAACAGGAGCAAGAACAGGAAACACATCAACAGCAAGAGCAGCAGCAGCAACAACATCCCCCTTCTGCCCTACCACCCCTCTTGCCTCGACCCAACGTCCCTCCACATCTCCCTTTCTCAGCCAGCAAGCCTCCTCTCCTCCCCTCCACCCATCTTTTCTCCTCCATGGTTCCCCGCAAGCCTCGCCCCCCCAGGCCTCGCCAAGTCACTCGCCTTCAATCTCTAGCGCCTCCTCCAATCCGCCCTCTCACTTCCTCCCAACCTCCTCTCATCCCCTCCTCCTCCTCCTCCTCCCCCTCCAGTTCAACCCCACCCTCCCCTCCCTTGTTGCCCTCTGGCCCTGCTACTGCAGCCTCAGCTGCTGCTGCTGCAAATGGTGTTAGTGCTGCTGGTGCCGTTTCTGGTGGTGCTGCTGCTGGTGTTCTTGGTCCGAGCCCAAAGCATACACCAGGCCTTTTCTCTCGGCCTCTCGTTTCCCCTCTGGTCCCATACCCACAACCATCCCCATTCTCCGTATTCTCCTCTTGCAATTCGCCTCTCTTCCCCACGTCATCCCCAAGGGGGTTTCTGTGGGCTGGGCTCCCCGAGTCGCCTGCAAGTGTGATTGTAAGAGAGGAAGCCATGCTGGCAGCTGCACAGACGACATCTGGAGATCCGACGGCTGTGGCCGCACAGGCGTCAGAAAATCCAACCGTTGGTGATGTACATGCCGCAGGAGATTCGAAGGCTTTAGGTGGAGGATCTGCAAGAGATCCAACGGATGTGGTTGCTCCTTCTCAAGCTGCTGGTGCAACGTTGAGTGAAGATCATTCAGTGACAGATGGAGGTGCTTGTAATGGGAACCAGCCTGGCTTGAGCACCCCTCTTGGGAAGACAACCCCGTTGCAAGGAGATGCGGATGGAGGGAGCCTTATGGCTGCAGCAATTAGCCCGGCCAGTGCAGAGGTTTCTTGTGGGTCGACTGATGTAGAGAAATTGCCAGAAACCCTCACCCTTTTTGAGTAGTGGTGCTCATTCTTGAGTAGTAAACTTTTTAGGTGTATGGTGGGGGACGTGTATAGGTGGTGGATTAGTTTCTTTTGGGGTGGAAGCATTGATGTCATGTCACAGAAGTGGCATGTTCACCTGAGGTATCTCATTTTAATTCCTTATCTCATTTCAAATCCTTAGTACGGGTAGATATCATCAGTGTCATAGAAGCAGAAGTTTCCAGGTTTGTCACCAACACTTACCGTAGTCCCTTCATCTTGCTACTTGCCTTACCGTATGCACTCAACTTCCACTCGTTCCCGGTTGGGAAGGTCTTGAGAAGGAATCAAGTTCTTCCACTAAAATCCAGTTGGGAGAGCAATGGCGTCAGTGGTATGAACCGCCAGTTCCCCTGGTTTCACGTAGAAGTCACCTTTGACGATCATCAGGGTGCTTTTCGTAGGACCTCGCCTTCCCTGAAGAATAACTTTGCTCGTCGTGCTGGCCTTTGAGAGTTTAACAAGCATTAATGGCTTCTTGGTCTTCACATCTGTTGCCAAGGTGGGGATTTGAGTTCCTGGTTTTAGCATTCGAAGCTCGAGTTCAGTCTGTACGCCTTTAAGAGCGTGGAATGAGACAAGAGTCGCAATCTTGATGCTGCTGTAATGCGTCAGGTTTTCCTTGACGAAGGCTGCGTTGCTTGGCACGAGCATCGTCAATGGCTTCTTCAACGCATCTGTTATTTCCTTCCGATTTCCTGTTTAAAACGGAAAAGTTAGACACGTCCATCGGTGTGCTTCTTGTTAGAAAAAAAATTTCGTTACTGTGTACCGTAAAGCTTGACCAGGGACACGAAACTGGTGTAGCCTGAAGCATTGAGCTTCTGAACAGCTTCGTCGAATGGTGTCAACACACTCGTCAGATTCCCAGCCTTAGCGGACGCCGATAGGAAGAGAAAGACGAGGGCCAAGGAGCACAGCAGCACCAATGCATTAGCAGATGACGAACGGACGGAAGCCATGATGACTGAAATTGAATCCGCAGGAAGAAATCAGTTTGGCAAAATCTGCCTTCGAGAAAGCTTGCAAATATTTGGCCCGAGGAGTTCAGCTTCAGTTGGTACGGAAACTGTGGTTCGTTACTAGTTTCACCAACAATGTGCTGTATGTCTGATAACGCCTAAAGTGAATTGGTTGGTACTTCCAACAAATCAACAATTTTAATTCTCATGTGGTAGCTAAAGTGCTAGGTGCTCAGAATTGCCTCGTCTACTACTGCTGATAAGTAATACTTTCATTGACTGTGTTGCAAGTCTTATATCCACAAGCGATCAACGCTGGCATTGGGTGGTAATAGATTCTTCAACGTGTTACTGACAAACCATTGAAAAACTGGGAAGTAATCTGAGGCTCATATCATGTTCCAGAGCTGGTATGCAATGGTGTGGTGTTAGCGGCAGAGGCATCCAAGTCAACGGGCCTGGCGAGCTCGGGGTTGCCTGAGGGGTGTCTCTTGAGGTGCCTGAAAATTCTCATACCATGTTCCAGAGCTGGTACGCGACAGTGGTGGTGTTGGCAGCAGAGGTGTCAAAGTCAACGGGCCTGGCGAGCTCGGGGTTCCCTGAGGGGTGCACCAACGTGCCGACGAACCGGTCCTTCACGTCCACATCCAGGCGGATGTTGGTGAAACCCGAGAAGAGAGCAATCTCCTTGCTAGAGGTGGAAAGGGGTGTGAAAGGGAAGGAAGGACAAAAGTCACACACAACCACAAGCCCCTGCACACACATGCTCTTAAACACACAAGCCGACAAACCGGTCCTTCACGTCCACATCCAGGCGGATGTTGGTGAAGCCCGAGAAGAGAACAATCTCCTTGCTGCCTTCAAATGGAGGGGTGCAGTGCGGTGAGAAGGAGAGGGAAAGGTCAACTTGTCACACACACCAACAGAATTGATCCTTGCAGCAGAACTTCCTTCCCCACCATCCTGTGACGCCCTTCCCCGTTCCCCCCTCTCCCCACCTCCCCTCATCGCCCGACCCCTGGAACCCCACACACTCTTGCACAATACTTTCCCCTTCCTCACCGTATCTTGATGGTACGCATGTCTGCATCCGCTTCAAGATTCGCTCGCTTCTCTCGAAGCTCTTCTTGCCGCCGCATGAGCTTGCTGATCCTCGCCTGATACTCCTTCACCTGCAGTGGAACAGAGAGAAGCATGCGCCAGCCAAGAGGGAACACAAGTCTTGAATAAATTCATGAAATGCCTAATCTTTGCCTCCAAGTTTCTGTACCGCTTTTGACTCGGACTCAACGCACACTTCATGACTTATCTCTCCCACGCACACCACCTCCACAAAAACGTTGATTTCCGCCTCGTGCTCACTCTGCTGCTCCTTCGCCTCATGCTCACTCTTCTGCTCCTTCGCCTCATCCTCCTCCAAGTCCCTGCAGCTTTTAACTTGGAAAGACTCACAACTGGACTCAATATGCAGTCTATGACACACACACATATGACGTCTCCCACTCACACCTTTTCCACGAGTGCGTTGATCTCCGCCTCCTGCTCGTTCTTCTGCTCCTTCGCCTCATTCACCCTCGCTGTATCCTCCTCCAAGTCCCTCTGCAGCTCCCCCACTCTCTCCCTCATCTCCGACACCACCTGCTGTGAGCCTGCGAGGGCAGCAAGGGAGGGGCGAAAGGGGTGATGCAACGCACAGGGCATGGCCATTCCTCCGTTCCTACTGCTGTCATGGACTGCATCCGTCTTCCTCCAAGTCCCTCTGCAATTCCCCCACTCTCTCCCTTATCTCCGACACCACCTGCTGCGAACCTGCGAAGGAGAGGCAAGTGGGGGGTGCAACAGACAGAGCACGGTCACTCTTCTGCCCTTATTGATGTCATGTCATGCATCCCCCAAGTCCCTCTGCCAGCTCCCCCACTCTCTCCCTCATCTCCGACACCACCTGCTGTGACCCTGCGAGGGCAGCAAGGGAGGGGCGAAAGGGATAATACAACACAGTGGGCACGGCCATTCCTCCGTTCCTACTGCTGTCACGGACTGCATCCATCCTCCTCCAAGTCCCTCTGGAGTTCCCCCACTCTCTCCCTCATCTCCGACACCACCTGCTGTGACCCTGCGAGGGCAGCAAGGGAGGGGCGAAAGGGATAATACAACACAGTGGGCACGGCCATTCCTCCGTTCCTACTGCTGTCACGGACTGCATCCATCCTCCTCCAAGTCCCTCTGGAGTTCCCCCACTCTCTCCCTTATCTCCAACACCACCTGCTGCGAACCTGCGAAGGAGAGGCAAGTGGGGGATGCAACAGACAGAGCACGGTCAATCTTCTGCCCTTATTCATGTCATGTCATGCATCCCCCAAGTCCCTCTGCCAGCTCCCCCACTCTCTCCCTCATCTCCGATACCACCTGCTGCAAGCCAGCAAGGGAGAGGCAAGAGGTGGGGGCAACACATAGGACGACCCATGACTCTGTAACCGAATGCACTGTATTATTGGAACGAGTTCGTCGTATACATGGGGTATCCACCGTCCATGACCTTTTCTTCCATCCTTAACATTAACCTCGTACTTTTTTCAAAGTCCTTTCTCAAAATGCTAAAGAACGACTCCATGAGAGAGAAATTGCCATAACACAAGCCACCATGGCATGGATACAGTCAATCTCAACGCCTTTTTTTGTCCCCTTTTTTTTTTTTTTAAGGAGTCTCCTCGTGCCTATCATGGGATACGTACGGTCGATCAGGCTGGCCATGGCTCGTTCCCTCTCAGCGCAGACACCCACGAGCCTCCTGGTGGCTTCCGCTGCTCGTTGAATCCGCGCTTCCTCCTCCTCCTTGCCGATCCATTCCCCGTCCGGGTCAGGATCGCCATGGATTCGCTCACAAAATCGCACAACAACCTATCGAGATTTCTCAGCAATGTCTACTCAGAGAATTTATACGCACGGTTGATCAGGCTGAGAATTCATACGTAGCTATGGCTCGTTCTCTTTCCGCGCCGCCGACACCCTTTGGATCTCCAACGAACGACTACAAAACGAATCTTCGGACACCTCGACCCATAATGAATCACGTACGGTCGATCAGGCTGGCCATGGCTCGTTCCCTCTCAGCGCAGACACCCACGAGCCTCTTGGTAGCTTCTGCTGCTCGTCGAATCTTCGCTTCTTCCTCTTCCATGTTGCTCCATTTCTCCGTCAAACGAGTCAGGATCGCCACGGATTGCTCGTATAATTCCTCCGGCGGAGATACGGCGGCTGACGTGGATGTCGACATGGATGCTGACGTACTCGATTGAAAAAAGCTAGGCGGGAAGAGCGAGAGCAAGACGTGCTGTGTTGTACAGGGAATACGAACATGCGAGGGTAAGATGAGTGAATACCGAGTTCTGAGTACAGTACCGCCGATTAAAATAGTCTCGCTGCTTACTCTTTTACAGATAAGGTGGCGCGTGGAAGCACACTGTCGCTATTTAGCCAGCGGAAGATAAAGATCGACGAACACTGGAAAAGTCTTTCATAGTTCAAGAAATCGACGAGGTCAGTAACAGACCAAACTAGACAAAAATGAGGTAGGAGCTAAGAATATGATGATGCTGGAGCGAAGAACTGAAATGAGGGAAGGGCAATGGGAGGAGCTGCTGAGAAATGGACTTGTGAAGACGAAGACTCCAAAACGGGTCACTTGGCCCTGGATGGAATGGAGGTTTCAAAAGTGTGTGTCAGAGCAGATGATTGGTTCAAAGTGTTAACCAGGAATTCGGGAGTAATCGGCTGCCCGAAGTTATTGCAATCATAGTTGTAAAGTCCACAGATTGGTATCTTGTGCTGATGCTGGAAAGTAGTTTCTGCAAATGTCGCAACTTTTAATGGTAGAAATTGGAAGTCGAGAAAGATGCGGTCATGAAAATTCGTCTTGCAAATGAGAAAAAAGCAGGGTGTGTACACTCCGAGGCACAAGCAATTGCAGTCCCGAACTGTCAAGCCCACCAACCCAAATTCGTACTATTGGTCCTAAATTCCCAATGTGGTGTTTTGGCGGGAAACAACCGGCACAATGGTGATGCGTGATGCGCGTTTTCTTCTCGAATGCGCTTTAGGTTATGCTTGACTTGGCAGAGTTGAATCACGAGGGGAAGGGGGTGTTACGGCGGGCTAAGGAGTTTACAGAAAGGGTTTCTTTTGAGCAACAACAGCGTGCAATATATCCATTATAAGCGGCGACTATAGACACAATGTCACCGCTCTTCCACTATTCATTCGTCCTATGCCTCCTCGTACTCGTCTCGCACAACATCTGGCACCGCCGGTCGCTCTCGTACCTCCCCAACCCCACACTTCCCTCGATAATACCGACCCCGTTTAAGTCACTCTTCCCGTCAGTCTCGCTCAATGGAATCACATTTCTCGCTAAGGAGTGCCAGAGTCTCACCCAGCTACCCTACCAACTCGCGAACAATCCTCAAGGTAACCCTAACAATCCCGCATTACAGTCACTATCGTCCGTGTCCTTCAATGGAATCACATTTCCTTGAAGAGTCTCACCCAGCTACTCTACCAGACTGCAAATAACCTCAGGGTAACCCTAATAACCCTCAGAATAATCCTAATAACCCTCCGGGTGAACCTGAACGTCCGGCTTGAGAATCATTCCTGTCATCAATGTCACTGAGTGGAACTAGAGCCAAGGGTAAGCACCCCACACGGCGTACCAACGTTCATCTTCGCCTCATCCCACCGCCTGCAGCATCTGCCTTTGCAGTCAGTTCAGAATACCACCTCACTCCCTTGTCCCCCTCATCGGTGCCCCCACCTCCCATTCCTCCTTCCCCGTCCCAAGCAGCCCTCTTCACCCCACACGGCATGCCAACGTTCATCTTCGCCTCATCCCACCGCCTGCACGCCTCCAGGTGTCGTCCAGTCAGCTCAAAACACCACTCCATTCCTCTTTTCTCCCCCATTCCCTTCCACCAGCCCTCTTCGCCCCGCACGGCATGCCAGCGTTCATCTTCGCCTCTTCCCACCGCCTGCACGCGTCCGTCTTTGCAGTCGTGGGGCTGGGCGCACGAGAAACCATCTCACCTGACCACCCACTGTCATATCCCCACCTCCGCTTCCCCCTTCCCCGCCCCCTCCCCCCCCCAGCTCTCTTCGCTCCACATGGCATGCCCACCTTCATCTTTGCCTCATCCCACCGCCTGCATGCGTCCGCCTTTGCAGTTGTGAGGCTAGGCGCACCTCACTCCCCTCTCCCCTCCCATCGGAACCCCCACCTTCGCGTCCCTTCCCTCCCCCAGCCTTCTTCACACCACACGGCATGCCAACGTTCATCTTTGCATCATCCCACCGCCTGCATGCATCCGCCTTTGCAGTCGTGAGGCTGGGCGCGCGGGCAGGGAGGTACCTGTGGGGGAGCAGGGAGGGAGGAGACACGTGAAAGTTAAGTTGTTTTGAGACGTCTCAAAACAAGTCTACTCTCATTCAGCTGAAGGTCCCTCTTCCCCTCCTTATTATACCCCCATCATTGTCAATCCCACCTCCCTTTCCCCCAGCCCTCTTCAACCCACACGGAATGCCCACCTTCATCTTCGCCTCATCCCATCGCCTGCACGCCTCCCCCTTTGCAGTCGTAAGGCTGTGCACCTCACTCCCCTGTCCTCCAATTGTCTATGCCCTCACCTTTCCTCCCCCATCCCCCCCAGCCCTCTTCGCCCCACACGGAATGCCCACCTTCATCTTTGCCTCATCCCACCGCCTGCACGCATCCGCCTTTGCAGTCGTGGGGCTGGGCGCGCAGGCAGGGAGGTACCTGTGGGGGACCAGGGAGGAGACGTGCCTGTGGATCTCCCTTGAAGGGCCCAGGGCTATTCCGGTGAGCACTGGAGGGGAGGGGAGGGTCAATTTATCCGTCCATCCATCCATCCATCCATCCATCCGCACCACATTGCACCGCATGGCTGCCTTGCGCGCAGGCAGGGAGGTACCTGTGGGGCAGCAGGGAGGAGACGTGCCTGTGGATCTCCCTGGACGGACCCAGGGCTATTCCTGTGAGCACTTAAGGGGAGGGAGAGATAGTCAATCCATGGTTTAGACGCACCGCACTGCACCGCACTGCGCGGCACCCTGGAAGCTGTGGTAGGTGCACGGGCAGGGAGGTACCTGTGGGGGAGCAGGGAGGAGACGTGCCTGTGGATCTCCCCTGAAGGACCCAGGGTTATTCCGGTAAGGACACGTGGCAGGATCCTATTGACTGGAGTTAATGACACGTGGCATGTTCCTAGTGAAATTGGGTAAGATCATCATGACCATGGCATGATCTCGAACTACTGGCTGGCAGAGTGACTCGCACCTTCTGCCTTGCATCCCCCTCCCCTCCCTTGTCTTCCTGATTCCAGGGAACGCTGGTGTACTATTTCCCAGAGGATACCAAAGGGCTCAAAGTGAACGGGTTACCACCTAGGGACGGACCCCAGCAGAGTGTCACTGTTTCAACACCCACCCTCCGTCTCCCTCATTGTTTCATATCCCAGGGAACGCTGGTGTACTATTTTCCAGAGGATACCAAAGGGCTCAAAGTGAGCGGGTTACCAGTTTGAGAACTTACTGGTCTTGTGCCCCCCCCCTCTCCCGCCCCTTGCTTCCTCCTCCCATGTTTCCTTATCCCAGGGAACGCTGGTGTACTATTTTCCAGAGGATACCAAAGGGCTCAAAGTGAGCGGGTTACCACTTTGAGAACTTACTGGACTTGTGCCCCCCCCCTCTCCCGCCCCTTGCTTCCTCCTCCCATGTTTCCTTATCCCAGGGAACGCTGGTGTACTATTTCCCAGAGGATACCAAAGGGCTCAAAGTAGCGGGTTACCACTTTGAGAACGTACTGGTCTTGTGCCCCCCCCCTCTCCCGCCCCTTGCTTCCTCCTCCCATGTTTCCTTATCCCAGGGAACGCTGGTGTACTATTTCCCAGAGGATACCAAAGGGCTCAAAGTGAGCGGGTTACCACTTTGAGAACGTACTGGTCTTGTGCCCCCCCCCTCTCCCGCCCCTTGCTTCCTCCTCCCATGTTTCCTTATCCCAGGGAACGCTGGTGTACTATTTCCCAGAGGATACCAAAGGGCTCAAAGTGAGCGGGTTACCACTTTGAGAACGTACTGGTCTTGTGCCCCCCCCCTCTCCCGCCCCTTGCTTCCTCCTCCCATGTTTCCTTATCCCAGGGAACGCTGGTGTACTATTTCCCAGAGGATACCAAAGGGCTCAAAGTGAGCGGGTTACCACCTAGGGACCCTAGCAGAGTGTCACTGTACGAGACTGTGATTATACAGTGCATGCTGTCTGCTCCCACTCCTGCTGACTCTGGTGAGTGACGTTTCCCCTGGTCATAGAAACAGCAGGCCTTATGGGTGAACAGGTTACCAGCAAAGTGTCACTGTACGAGACTGTGATTATACAGTGCGCGCTGTCTGCTCGCACTCCTGCTGACTCTGGTGAGTGACGTTTCCTCGTTCGTGATTGGAGCAAAAAGAAGCACAAATGTAGCAGGGCTTACCACCTTGACCCCAGCAGCAGCAGAGTGTCACTGTACGAGACTGTGGTTATACAACAGTGCATGATATCTGCTCCCACTCCTGCTGATTCAGTAATGCACAGCACTTGCTGAAGGGCTGTGCTCCTGCTGACTCCCGTGTTTTGAGACGTCTCAAAACGCGCCTGCTGAAGGGCTGTGCTCCTGCTGATTCCCATGAGTGGGGTAATTTGTGCTGTCAAGGGCTTTGGGTTCGTGCAGCAGCGACGACTACCCCTCGTTATTGTTTACTGAATTCCCGTCGAAAACTCACCCAGACGCCCGGATGTGAATAGCAATTAACCTGGATGGCTGCTGCTGATTTGGCAAACGCGATGTTTGCAGCAGCAGCCAACCAAATCTCTCCTAAATAATGTCAAGCTGAGTCCTCTGTTCGTTTTTCCTCCCAGAACTTACCCACCTGCCCTCTGTTGCAATTTCCTGGCAGCTGGGACGCTCCTTGTCGTCACTATACACGGCGACGAGGTGCTTATAAGGAGGGAGAATCTTCTGTCCCAAAACCTACCCACCTGCCCTCTGTTGCAATCTCCTGGCAGCTGGTGTTCTCTTTGCCACTATACACGGCGACGAGGTGCTTATAAGGAGGGAGAATCTTCCGGAAAAGGTCTCCGCTTCGAATCGTACCTCTGGTTCGGATGGCCTTCTGGCTCTTGACCCTCCTACGCCTCTCCCCCGCTGGCTCACTGTCTGCACTCAACTTATTACCCAACCGGTGAGTGCTCCGCTAAGGGATACAGTGCGGTGTGGTAGTGTGCTCCGCTCTGCTGTGGTGTCCCATGAGAATCTTCTGGAGAAGGTCTTCAGTTCGAATCGTACCTCTGGTTCGGATGGCCTTCTGGCTCTTGACCCTCCTACGCCTCTCCCCCGCTGGCTCACTGTCTGCACTCAACTCATCACGCAACCGGTTAGTGCAAATATGGTGTGGTACAGTGCGGTTCTGCTCTCTGCTGTGAGCTGCTGTGCGTTAGTGTGCTCAGGGAGCCTTCTGGTTCTTGACCCTCCCACACTGCTCCTCCGCTTGTTCACTGTCTGCACTCGACTTATTACCCATCCGGTGAGTGCTCTGCCATGGATGGAACACAGTGCGGTGCATTGTTGTCCAGTGTGGTAATGTGCTCTGCTGTGGGCTGCTATGCAGTTATGTGGTCTGATGGTCGTCTTGTTCTTGACCCCCCCATGCCGCTCCCCTGCTGGTTCACTGCCTGCACTCAACTCATCACCCAACCGGTGAGTGAGTGCTCTGCCGAGGAGTACAGTGCGGTAGTGTGCTCTGCTCTGCTGTGGTGCGCCATGAGAATCTCCAGGATAAGGTCTCTGGTTCGAATCGTACTTCTGCTTCGGATGGCCTTCTGGTTCTTGACCCTCCCACGCTCCCCCGCTGGTTCACTCTCTGCACTCAACTCGGTGAGTGCTCCCACCCTCCCACCCTTATTTATTACCCATCCGGTGAGTGCTTTGCTAACGGATACAGTGCGGTGCTGTGTTGTTCCGTGTGGTCAGGAAGCGTGTTGAAGCAGATTCAGCTGTTTGCCTACTGTGACGCAGACAGCCTCCTTGGTCGACGCGCTGTGCGCCCCTCTATTGACTTCCACACCCTCCTTTCCCGTCTCATCTCTCCCCCACCAGATGCGGCGCGAATGTGTACTAGAGCAGATTCCGCTCTTTACCTACTATGGCGCCGAGCTGCTCCCTCCATAGTAGGAGGGCATGGAGGGAGGGTGTTATATTGACTTGCTGTATGTCCCGCCCTCCATGCCCTCCCACACTCCCCTATCTCCCCTATCGCCCTCCCTCCATGCGCATCAGGTGCGCCCAGAGCGCGTGTTGGAGCAGATTCAGCTCTGCACTTATCACGGGGCCGACAGCTTCCTTCCTTGAATACGATGGGGGAGGCGTGGACGAGGTCCTCCCTTGTTGACTTGACGTGCTGTGTGTCCTTCCCTCCCTCCATGCGCATCAGGTGCGCCCAGAGCGCGTGTTGGAGCAGATTCAGCTCTTCACTTATCACGGGGCCGACAGCTTCCTTCCTTGAATACGATGGGGGAGGCGTGGACGAGGTCCTCCCTTGTTGACTTGACGTGCTGTGTGTCCTTCCCTCCCACCATGCGCATCAGGTGCGCCCAGAGCGCGTGTTGGAGCAGATTCAGCTCTTCACTTATCACGGGGCCGACAGCTTCCTTCCTTGAATACGATGGGGGAGGCGTGGACGAGGTCCTCCCTTGTTGACTTGACGAGCTGTGTGTCCTTCCCTCCCTCCATGCGCATCAGGTGCGGCCAGAGCGCGTGTTGGAGCAGATTCAGCTCTGCACTTATCACGGGGCCGACAGCTTCCTTCCTTGTATACGATGGGGGAGGCGTGGACGAGGTCCTCCCTTGTTGACTTGACGTGCTGTGTGTCCTTCCCTCCCTCCATGCGCATCAGGTGCGGCCAGAGCGCGTGTTGGAGCAGATTCAGCTCTTCACTTACTATGGTGCTGACAGCTTTCTTGTGTACGATGGGGGAGGCGTGGACGAGTTGCTAAGGCAGGCTTTAAGGCCGTACGTCACTGCAGGGATGGTCGAGATTGTACCCCTTATGGGCTTGTCACAGTAAGTGGAAAAAATGGACAATTGCTTAATGCACAATACTATGAGCCCTTTCTCAAAGGCTCATTCACAAAAACGAGACTTGGCGTTTTGTTTTGTGAGCCCTTCCTTTTGAGTCGACTCAGAAGTCACCTCGTTTTGTTTTGTGAGCCCTTCCTCATTCATTCATTCATTCATTCATTCATTCATTCATTCATTCATTCATTCATTCATTCATTCATTCATTCATTCATTCATTCATTCATTCATTCATTCATTCATTCATTCATTCATTCATTCATTCATTCATTCATTCATTCATTCATTCATTCATTCATTCATTCATTCATTCATTCATTCATTCATTCATTCATTCATTCATTCATTCATTCATTCATTCATTCATTCATTCATTCATTCATTCATTCATTCATTCATTCATTCATTCATTCATTCATTCATTCATTCATCCATCCATCCATCCATCCATCATCATTCATTCATTCATTCATTCATTCATTCATTCATTCATTCATTCATTCATTCATTCATTCATTCATACATTCATTCATTCATTCATTCATTCATTCTTATGAGACACTTTCTCACGTGAGGCGTGGATGAGCTCTTCCCTTCCCCATTTCCCATCCCCCTGTCCCCTGTCTTCCTTTCTGTCCCCTGTATTCGTAATTTCTCAAGGCCTCACGCAGAGATGGTCACATCACGGCCGTCCATCCTTATGTTCTCTTCCTCTGGTCCCTCTGTCTCTGCTATCTCACCCTCACCACTGCCTTCCAGCGCAGCTGACTTTGAGTCGACTCACAAGTCAAGTCACCTGCCCATTTCTCCCTCCCCCCCCCCTGTGCACTTCTTCCGGTCCCTCTGTCTCTGCTATCTCACCCGCTCTGTCTCTGCTATCTCACCATTGTAACGAGGTGACTTTTGAATAGACTCTTAAGTCCCTCTGTCTCTGCTATCTCACCATTGTAACGAGGTGACTTTTGAATAGACTCTTAAGTCCCTCTGTCTCTGCTATCTCCCCTTCACTACAGCCTCTCAGCACAGCTGGACGTGCTTGTAACGAACGACTGCCTCTACTGCACGCGCTTCACCTTACACATATCTTGCTTGTATTTCCCTCCTCACTGACTGTCTGCTGTCTCACCCCCACTACAGCCTCTCGGCACAGCTGGATGTGCTTGTAACGAACGACTGCCTCTACCGCACACGCTTCACCTCCAGATGGGCCACCTTTGTCACTTTAGAGGAGCTTCCCTTTGTCTTCAACGGCCGGCTGTCGCTGCGCATGGCTCTAGAAGACAACGAGGATGCCCCGTGGCTGTCAGTGGGATCATATGAGTGGAGCATCAAGCTCTGTGCCCCTCCTGCTAATTCTTCTGATGCTTCTGCTACCACCGGTGAGTGAAGCCTCTCGCTGCTGCGCATGGCATGGCTTTGGCTGTCGTTGTGCTGTTGAAGACAACGAGGATGCCCCGTGGCTGTCAGTGGGATCATACGAGGAGCATCAAGCTGTGTGCTCCCCCCAACTCTGCTGGTACGAAGGAAAGGCTCTGGAGGGGCATACCCCTGTCACTGCGCATGACACTAGAGGACAACGAGGATGCCCCGTGGCTGTCAGTGGGATCATACGAGAGTGGAGCATCAAGCTGTGTGCCCCTCCTGCTAATTCTTCTGATGCGAGTGATGCTACCGGTGAGTAAAGCCTCTCGCTGGCTTTGGCTGTCGTTGTGCTGCCTGGGCTATAGACCACTGCCTGGGCGCTGCTGGTTACCAATGCTTGCTCTTCAACCTCTCTAAAACCCCTTCTGATGATCCCCAGTCGCAGGGGAGGAGTGGCTGGCACAGCAGATGGTGTATCGCATGCCCACCCCCACCTGCTCCCACGCCACCACCAACGCCTCAGCTGCAGACCACTGCCTGGGCGCTGCTGGTTACCGCCGGTTGCTCTTCAACCCCAGGCGTGTAGACGTGCTACAGCCGCACGCTGCTGTGAAGCCGGCGGATGAAGGCGTGGATATCTCTGCAAGGAAGGTCAATTTCAATCGATACAAGGTGAGTAGGAGTGGATGTGTGGGCGGATGAAGGCGTGGGTAAATCTGTGAGGACGATGAACTATAGTTAATACAAGGTGAGTAGGAGTGGGTGCGTTGACTGCCATATCAATCAACAAGTACATGTTAACTTCACCAACATTTTATTCTTTCTTGTTTTTCTTTCCTAGGGTTAACGTGAACTTATGAGAAGAACCTTTGTACATACGTATAATGCTCTATATTCGTATAAATGCTCGTATGGTATCCATCCATGTACTGGTGTGTTTTTTGGCAGGGAATAACCACGCCAGCTGCGCTGGTGTGCGATCGCATCGTTCCGCGTGTCTTGGACCCAGACGGCTTCATTCCAAACCCTGAGCAGAAGATATTCCTGATACGGGACCTGATTACTAGTGGACGAGCCTCGGGAGCGATTTCTTTGCTTGAAGGATAGACCACAAAAGTGTGCACCAAGTGGGGGAGGGTAAGGGGGCTCTTTGAAGATACCGTAAGGGTCTGTGAATTAGATGGAAGACGATTTGTATAAGCTTCTATTGTAGATAGCTTAACGGTTTAGCGAAATTTTCATAAATACTGGTTTTGAACGGACATGTGCTTGCTTGCCCTATTCAAATATGGGTTCAAGTCTTGGTGTATTGGGAAATATCTTTACGTGTAGCGCATCTCGAAATCGCTCCGTATCTCGCATTTCTCCACCTCCTGGAAGCTCGGGGAAAGCATATCAATGAAACATATCGGTTGGGTAGGTTATTGAGGGATACATATCCAACTTATGGGACATACCGTCAGGGATCCTGGGGAAAGCAGCAGCACACACCATCGGAACGGGATGCAGGATTCAGCACAGCACACATGCTATCATAACCCATGCAAGCTTCCATATATCCTCAGCGGATTTTCACTAATTTAGCTCGGGCCTCTGGACTAATTAGTCCGTCAGGAACCAGCTGCATCCTTCGCAAGCGCTCTGACACAAAGTCCCGCGAATTCGCCAGTCTAGGATCGGACGGCCGGCGTCTGTCAGGTCTCGCGCGTGGATATTCGCAAAGCCAGATCGGACTGCGGTCGTTTAGTTTAGATCATGGAGCGTCTTCAGCGGATATTCCAGAGCGCCGGGGGAGGCATGGGGCCCCAGCCGGATGCTCCGATGGTCGACACGTCGGAGCAGGTTTACATCTCTTCTCTCGCGCTTCTGAAGATGCTTAAACACGGTGCGTCGGATTAGTAGACAGTAACGACGTTCGCAGGCAGGTGTACATCTCGTCGCTCGCTCTCCTGAAGATTCTTAAACACGTTGCGTGCTTAAGCGCGGTAGTGCGTCAGATTAGCAGCGATTAAAACCGTTTACGTAGTTGAGACGTCGGGAACAGTTGTACGACTCTTTGCTCGCTCTATGAACACGGTGCGTGCACGCAACACACTGCGGTCCATCAAATTAGTAGCGAATAAGGTCGTTCCCGTGATGGCATGTCAGATCAGGTGTGCATCTCGTCACTCGCTCTCTTTGATTCAGGAAACGGTTGTCAAGAGGTTCTCGAATTGGTGTGTTGATTTTTTAAACCGGCTGTGTCGGATTCTCGAATCGGGTGTGTCAGGTTTCCAGCTTCGGTGTATCAGATCCCTGAATTATTTGTGTCTGATTGTCCAACCAGGTGTCAGATTCTCGAATCGGATGTTCCGGATTGTAGAATAGATTGTCCATCAAAGTTGATGGGTCTCGTGCTCTGCGAGTTCCTTGACGACTGCACCATGCGGGTGGTGTGATGCGCTCTGTTCGCCATGCCCCATGTTAGCACATTCCTGCCATATGCTATCTCCTTTCCCCTCCTCGTCGTGCCAGGTCGTGCCGGAGTTCCAATGGAAGTCATGGATCTGATGCTGGGCGAGTTCGTTGACGACTACACCGTGAGGGTGGTTGACGTGTTCGCCATACCTCAGAGCACTTCCCTTCCACACGTGCTGTCCCTTCCTTCCCCCCCTTCTCTCAGGCCGTGCCGTAGTGCCAATGGAAGTGATGGGTCTCATGCTGGGCGAGTTCGTTGACGATTACACCGTGCGGGTGGTTGATGTGTTCGTCATGCCTCAGAGCGGCACATTCCTTCCAAATGCTCTTTTCAATCCCCACCTCCTTCTGTCAGGTCGAGCGGGAGTGCCAATGGAAGTGATGGGTCTCATGCTGGGCGAGTTCGTTGACGATTACACTGTCCGGGTGGTTGATGTGTTCGCCATGCCTCAGAGCGGCACGGGCGTGAGTGTGGAGGCGGTGGATCCAGTTTTCCAGACCAAGATGCTCGACATGCTCAAGCAGACGGGCAGGTGAAAATACCAGCCGGGCAGGTGAAATGGGCTGACGGGCAGGTGGGAAAAAAAAAGGGGTGGTTGATTTGTTCGCCATGCCTCAGAGCGGCACGGGCGTGAGCGTGGAGGCTGTCGACCCTGTCTTCCAGACCAAGATTCTCACATCCAGACCAGGTCAGCTGGTGCCACTCGCATCCAGGCTTCGGCTGCTGTGTATTCCAAACCACTCCTCTTTCCTCTTTCCTCCTTCCGCCACCCCCTCCCTCCGCTCTTGCCTCCCCACTTCCGCCCGTCACCACGCCTGAGATGGTGGTCGGCTGGTACCACTCACATCCAGGCTTCGGCTGCTGTGTATTCTAAACCACTCCTCTTTCCTCCTTCCGCCTCCCCCTCCCTCTTCCTCTCCCTCCCCTCTTGCCTCTTCCCTTCACCTTGTCAACAGGCCTGAGATGGTGGTGGGCTGGTACCACTCGCATCCAGGCTTCGGCTGCTGTGTATTCTAAACCACTCCTCTTTCCTCCTTCCGCCTCCCCCTCCCTCTTCCTCTCCCTCCCCTCTTGCCTCTTCCCTTCACCTTGTCAACAGGCCTGAGATGGTGGTGGGCTGGTACCACTCGCACCCAGGCTTCGGCTGCTGGCTGTCTCTCTGTACCCCTGCTTCCTCACGCACCCACCCACCCCTTCTCCCTCCTCCCTCTTCACCCCCACCTTCACCCTCTACCTTGTCAACAGACCCGAGATGGTGGTGGGCTGGTACCACTCGCATCCAGGCTTCGGCTGCTGGCTGTCTCTCTGTACCCCTGCTTCCTGACGCCCCCACCCCTTCTCCCTCCCGCCTCTTCACCCCCACCTTCACCCTCTACCTTGTCAACAGACCCGAGATGGTGGTGGGCTGGTACCACTCGCATCCCAGGCTTCGGCTGCTGGCTGTCTCTCTGTACCCCTGCTTCCTGACGCACCCACCCCTTCTCCCTCCCGCCTCTTCACCCCCACCTTCACCCTCTACCTTGTCAACAGACCCGAGATGGTGGTGGGCTGGTACCACTCGCATCCAGGCTTTGGCTGCTGGCTGTCAGGGGTCGACATCAACACCCAGCAGGTATGCACTCTCAAGGGAACCACAGCTGGTCATCGATGCCTTTCATCTCGTCAACCCATCTCCATCTCTTCTCACCATCTCTCTCTCCCTCCCTCCTTCCCCTTCTCATGTCTAACTTCAGAGCTTTGAGGCGCTGAATCAGCGGGCAGTGGCGGTGGTGGTGGATCCAATTCAGTCAGTCAAGGGCAAGGCTATGTCTTCCCCCTAATCACCTCATTTTTTCCTCGCTCTCTCCATCACTCCCCCTCAGAGCTTTGAAGCACTGAACCAGCGGGCAGTGGCGGTGGTGGTGGACCCAATTCAGTCCGTGAAAGGCAAGGTGGTCATCGACGCATTCCGCCTCATCAACCCACAGACCATGATGCTGGGGCAGGAACCGCGCCAAACCACCTCCAACCTGGGGCACCTTCACAAGCCGTCCATCCAGGTATGTCAACTCGTATCCTCCGGCACTGCACAGCTGGGCTGCCGTCGACGCGTTCCGCCTCATCAACCCACAGACCATGATGCTGGGGCAGGAGCCGCGCCAGACCACCTTTTATCTGGGTCACCTGCATAAGCCGTCCATCCAGGTATGTATGTGGTCTCCCATTCACCAGTCACTGCACAGTTGAGCTGTCATCGACACATTCCGCCTCATCAACCCACAGACCATGATGCTGGGGCAGGAGCCGCGCCAGACCACGTCTAACCTGGGTCACCTGCATAAGATGTCCATCCAGGTACGGTGTCTTACCCCTCAGGAGCTCATCTGCTTCGCTTTTGAGAATTCTTAAAAGCGACTCAGATTTAGCAGGTACGGTGCCTTACCCCTTAGGCGTTCATCCATGGTCTGAACCGGCACTGCTACTCCATGGGCATCAACTACCGCAAGAACGAGCAAGAGGTGGTGCCGACATGACTCCTTACTAGCCATGCCTTGCTGCCACCCCCCCTTCTTCCCCAACAGGCGCTCATCCCTGGTCTGAACCGGCACTGCTACTCCATGGGCATCAGCTACAGCAAGAACGAGCAAGAGGTGGTGCCAACATGACTCCTTACTAGCCTTGCCTTGCTGCCCACCCCCCCTTCTTCCCCAACAGGCGCTCATCCATGGTCTGAACCGGCACTACTACTCCATCGGCATCAACTACCGCAAGAACGAGCTGGAGGAGAAGATGCTACTCAATCTGCACAAGAAGAAATTCCCTCCTTTCCTGCTTCCGCCCTCCCCCTTCCCCTTTTCTGCCCTCTCTTTCCACCATTCCGCCCTTCCCTTCCGCCTGCTTCCTCCCTCCCCTATTTCTCTGGTCCTGTCTTCTCAACCCCCCCCCCCCCCCCCCCAACAGGCGCTGATTCACGGGTTGAACCGGCACTACTACTCCATCGGCATCAACTACCGCAAAAACGAGAGAGTCCTGCGTTCCTTATCCCGCACTATGCCCTCCGTGCTGCACCCTCCCTCCCCTTCACAGGCTTTGATCCATGGTCTGAACCGGCACTACTACTCCATCGGCATCAACTACCGCAAGAACGAGCTGGAGGAGAAGATGCTGCTCAACCTGCACAAGAAGAAGTGGGCGCACGGGCTGACGCTGCAGCCCTTCGAGAGCCACAACAAGAAGAACGAGCAGATCGTGCAGGTGAGGGGTTTAGCGTAATTAACATGAGAATGTTCAAGAGTAAACTCCACACGGCTGTTTGAGAGCCTTCCCCATTCTCCCTTCCTTCTTCCCCCCTTCCCCTTTCCTGTTCATTTCTCTCCACCTCCTTTCCCCCAACACGAATGCTCATTTGGTTCAGAAGTACAAGAAGGCCGTGCAAGAGGAGGATACGTTGTTCCCTCTTCTCCCCCCTCCCCTCCCCAACCTCTTTCCCCCTTTCCCCTTTCTCTCCCCCACCTCCCCTCCAGCCCCCCCCTCTTCCCCCGGCAGGACATGTTGGAGTTGGCTCAAAAGTACATCAAGGCCGTGCAAGAGGAGGATACTTAGTTCTCTCTTCACCCTCCCGCAGTCCCCAACCCTGTTCTCCCTTCCTTTCCCCCTCCGTCTTCCTCACGCCTGTACCAAACAGGACATGTTGGAGTTGGCTCAGAAATACAACAAGGCAGTGCAAGAGGAGGATACTCTATCGAGCGAGAAGTTTGCGATTGCGAGTGTGGGGAGGCAAGACGCGAAGAAGCACCTAGAGGAGCATGTGTCAACACTCATGTCGTCCAACATCGTGCAGACGCTAGGCACGATGCTGGACACTGTCGTGTTTTAGAATATGAACATTTGCATTTCTGTGGATCTGAATTATGGTTTTTGTAGATGCAATGACAAACAACGGTTACCTGCTTGTCAATCACTTTTGTGTAGTTATAATCTTATTAACCTGGCACAATAGCCACTCCTTGTGTGAGTTTTTTTTGGAACGCTGTGCAGTGTACTTATCAGCTTTCTCCAATCCCAAGACCAGGACTACACTCCGAGCCTCCCCTATTCTCCCTTCAAATCACCTCCCCGCGCACATTCCTACGGTTGCTGTGAGCGCTGGTAGGATGCCGCATAGTGATTGGCGGAATGACGACGCCGCTTGATTGTGACAGCCGCAACCCAGCAAGCCCGTGAATGCAGGAACCACTCTGTTCTTTTTTGAAAAGTATCTGAAATGAACATGAACCGTACTAGATTGAATATGACAACCGATGTAACATCCGTACCCAACCCCAGCTGGTCTCGATACGTCGAACCAGCTGAGGGAGAAATGTGGGGAAATCTGGTTGGTTGGGAAAGCGAGACTTACGGGCAATTCAGGATTGATTGGGAAACCAACCAATCGAAATTGTTGCTGAGTCAAACTTACGCAATTGGTTTGAGCTTGTTCAAACATAACCCACGTAAGTTCACCTCATCACTAATTCAACCAATCAGATCACAGCCCCAAGAGTGAGTCGACAATGTTTCCGCCGCTCACTTCAAACACAACCAATGAGAAACAAATACAGGTTTGTGATTGCTATGCAATTCTTATCCTTGCTATCTAAAATGTAATTGGTTGAAAATCTTGTTTGTTGCCACATGGGCAAGACCCAAGGGAGTGCACCCCTCCTTGCCATGGGGAAGGTGGCTGCACCCCAAGGGGGTCTAGGGAAGGGGTCTGAAGCCTCTTGGCTCATTCCTCATTTCCTACTCCCAACAAATCAATTGGGAAATAGGATTGTCTTCTCCTCAACTCACCTTCCACAGTTTGTTACTGCATCTCCTAGCACTCTCCAGACTTAGTGATTTCCAGGAGCTGTTACTCTCTGTTTGTGTTAGAACTTATCTTTATATGGGTAAATGCCCTTTTTCTTAGTAGATCCGTTACATTGGTAATCAGAGCTATTAGTAGACCCTCGCCTTGTGGGCATCTAAGAGGATTTTTCATTTTTCTTTTCTTGGAGGAGTTGTGATTTTTATTGTAATCACCATATTATAAACTTGTGAAGACTACAAGCTACTCAAGCAGTTTTCAAGATCTACAAGCTTCTCCAAGAGTTCTAAGCCCTCCCTCCCTCCCTGCTGGTGGAACCATTGGAGCTACTGTGAAGAAGTTGCAACCTGTCTGAATTCACATTCTCTGTTGAAGACAATCACTTTGTGATTGTTCTTGCCTTATCCACTGCGGTGGTAAGGATATTTTGCAACAGAGATGTTTTTCACATTGTTGTGGTTGTAAGATCTATTGAATACATTTCTCCTCTGGAGAAAATCTTGGTTATTCACTGCGGTGGTAACAATTTGCAGTAGATCTGTAACTCATTTTTATAATACAGTGACTTTGCTCTAAATGGCTTCTACCAACTCCAATGCTGGTGGTGTTGAAGGCAACAACTCCCATGCTGATTTGGAAGCTTGTGTGCAGAAGATTGACCTGAACAACTTGGATGAGGAAATGGCTGAAAAGGAACCTGCTGAAAACTCCCCTGCTAAGGACCCTTCAGCTGCTGAAAATTCCAAGGAGCAGGAAGAGGAGTCTCAGGAGGATGACATTGAGTTGGAAGGGGAAGATGACATTTTGCATGCTGAAATTGCTAAGCTGCAGGACCATGCTGCTGAGCAGGATACGCGCATCCAGCAGCAGCAGTCACTCATCACCAACCTCAAGAGGGATCTCTCTGACCAGGACAACAAAATCAAGTACCTGGAAGTTGAGCTCAAGAACATGAAGCACGACGCCCGGGAGCACGTTCATCAGCTGGCGAGGCAGACCTCAAAGATCAACGAGCTGCGCGAGGCGTTCAGTGCCCTCCGAAGGGAGACTTTGTATCGCCCTGCACCACGAGCGGAACCGCCTGCCAACTCTGCTAGCGGTCGCACCAACCCTTCTCGCTCTGGTGGTGCAGTGGGTGACCCTGGTCCTTCTACGCAGCGCGCTGCTGAGCCGAGCACGCAGGCTTTTGGCTCTCTGCCAATCACCCTGCCGCCATTCATCCATGGCAAGACGGACGTGGCTGCGTGGTTGTCGATGATGACCGACCTGTTCAAGGCGCACAAGTTCCAAGACGACGCTCGCGTCGTCGCTGCCACCACCGTGCTGGACCAGAATGCACAGAGAGTGGTGTATGGCAGCAAGATCCAGGCTGAGGCGGATAGGAAGCCGTTTGGATGGGAGGAATTCGCATATGCACTCAAGCAAGCCTTCCAGGTCCAGCCGACCCAGCTGGAGGTGCGCAGCCGCCTTGAGAAGCTGCAGTGCGGGAACCGCACAGTGCAGCAGTACGCTGTGGAGTTCGAAGAGATCTGGGTGCTGCAGAAACCGGCAGAACGCATGAGCGAGGGTGAGAAGATCCATCTGTTCTTCAGGGGGCTGCCTGAGCACCTCAAGAACATGCATATGACGGATGGGGCTGGGGAGGCATGGAGGTCATATGATCACGTGAAGCGCGTGGTGGGGACCACTGATAAGCACTTCCGTGCTTATGCCAAAACCACTACCCAGCCGCAGCAGGCCTCAAGGCCGTCTTCTAGCACTGCGGGTCCGAGTGGAAGGCAGCAGGGAACGCCTTGGAAGGGCGGGAACCACAAGAGGCCCTTCCAGCAGGGACAGCAGGCTGACCACAAGGCCAAGAAGGTCAATGAGGGTGGACCAAGCAATGTCCAGAGCTGCTTCAAGTGCGGCAAGCCCGGACACAAGGGTTATGAGTGCCGCCACCGCAAGTCGGTGAAGTACTCTGGCAAGGCTAAGACGGACAACAAGCGCAATGACGGCAGCGGTCCCTCGGGCAGCCAGCGGGATTTTGCAAAGCCCAACTAGGGGGTGGGTACCTAGCGGGCATAGCAGATCGAGAGGATGAGGCAGTGGTCCTGCGGGATGAGGAGTTGTTGAAACTCGAGTGCCTTGTTGATTGCAAAATTGCATGTGTGTATGCATTTTCTTTTAATGAAAGTTCTTCGTTTGCCTCTCGATTTCACCCACTGGAAAGTATCGCAGTTGAATCATTACGAGATAAATTCTCAATTATCTTTTGTGATCACCACAATTTGCCTTGGATAATAGATGTGGTGGGTCGTTGCACCCAAGCGCACCCTCTAACTGCGGTTGGAATGGTAACGCGCACAGCTCGAGGTAAATTATTTCGAGCGCTTCAAGAATGGAGTGTGTTAGCGCAATGGGATAAAGGACACCACGTGTGGTGGACACAAGCTCGTTCTTTTGGACGTAGCAAGCATGGTATTAAGGCATATTATTTGCCTCCCACTGATATTACAGCATGTCCTATCCGACCCAAACATCAGCAAAACCTTTTGTTTTCGGGTTGCGTAAATGGGCGCAGTGCCTCGATCCTAATTGATACGGGTGCAACTGCGTCATTGATCGATGAGAAGTGGATGGGATATTTGAAGGTTCCTGTTCAAGGACCATCTTGTTCTATCCGTCTGGGGGATGACAGGATCATCCCATGCAGAGGACATGCATTGGTCAACCTGGATATCCAAGGATATCAGGAGACCGTCAGCGTTTTTGTTTTACCCCTCCTAGCAGGCGTAGACATTGTCTTGGGAATGGATTGGCTACGGCCTAATGAGGTGATATTAAATTTCCAAGATAACACGCTTTCATTCACAAAGAATGGGACGACGTTTCAATGGCAAGTCCCAAGACGCCAAGCACTGGACGACAAACCTCAAACGTTAGCTCTTGATGTACTCTTTGCGTCGGCTCTCCAATTCAAAGAGCATGTCAAGGGAGCTGATACACTTTTTGTTGTACAGCTAGACTCCGAACCAACCACTTTGCAGATTATTGAGGATTTTCCGCCTCAAATGAAGGCGTTGGCGGAGGAATATTCTGAGGTTTTCGAGCCAATTCCGGACGGGTTACCTCCTGACCGTGCAGTTGGCCACACCATCCCGGTGGAACCAGGAAAGGCACCACCGTTTAGACCTTTGTATCGCCTCAGTCCAGCTGAGTACGAGGAGGCTAAGCAACAAATTGAGGAATACCTCAGGAAGGGATGGATAGAACCCAGCGCGTCCCCATATGGAGCACCTATCTTGTTCGTTCACAAGAAGGGGGGTGGACTGCGCATGTGCGTCGATTATCGAGCCCTGAATAAAATTACGATCAAAAATAGATATCCACTTCCGCGGATAGAAGATCTTTTTGATCGACTACAGGGTGCGCATGTCAGAGGTCCACTGGTGATCCCCGATGATCCTAGGGAAGGGTTACAGGCACGTTGGCCTGGGGGGTTATGGGCGCACTCACCCGCTACACAAACAAGCCCTTTTATCCCAGTGGTTAGTGGCTGGGATTCTGACATGGTATCAGAGCGAAGGTCTCGGGTTCGAATCCCGGTGTGTGTACCTCGGGCATCCCAGTGCGGGGGGGTGTCAGAGGTCCACTGGTGATCCCCGATGATCCTAGGGAAGGGTTACAGGCACGTTGGCCTGGGGGGTTATGGGCGCACTCACCCGCTACACAAACAAGCCCTTTTATCCCAGTGGTTAGTGGCTGGGATTCTGACAGCGCAATGGTTCAGTGCACTGGATTTGGCGCAAGGCTATCACCAACTACGTATAACAGAGGACGATGTTCCAAAGACGGCTTTCCGTTCGCCGTTCGGCCATTTTCAGTGGCGTGTGTTAAGTTTCGGCTTGACCAACGCTCCAGCCTCTTTCCAGAGGGCGATGAACGATGTGTTTCGTGATGCGATTGGCCACTTCGTCTTGGTGTACCTCGATGATATCTTGGTATACTCGAAAACCGAAGACGAGCATACGGAACATTTGAAATGGGTCCTCGGAAAATTACGCGAGCACAAATACTACGCGCGTTTGTGGAAATGCCATTTTTACAAACGTGAGCTAGAGTATTTGGGGCACGTGGTGGGGCATAACGGGTTGAAAGTGGACCCCAAGAAGGTAACAGCTGTCCAGGAGTGGCCCGTCCCACGCGACGTTGGCCAAGTTCGATCATTCATAGGCCTGGCGAATTATTTTCGTCGCTTCTTGGAAAATTATTCCACGATAGTCGCTCCCCTCACGGCATTAACCCGGAAAGGGTGCACATGGGAGTGGACCCCACAGTGCCAAAAGGCCTTCGAAAACGTCAAGCATAAATTAACTAACGCACCAGTTTTGGTGTTGCCAGACCCACAGAAACCATACGAGGTGGTTACGGACGCCTCAACGGTGGGACTTGGTGCAGTACTCCTGCAAGAAGGACGCCCTGTGGCATTTGAGAGTAGAAAACTCTCCCCGGCAGAGCAACGCTACACGACAACCGAACAAGAGTTGTTGGCTGTCGTGCATGCGCTAAGAATATGGCGATGTTACTTGGAAGGGGTAGAGTTCGTGGTCACCACTGACCATTGTCCGAACACATACTTTTCTACCCAAGCTACCCTCACTCGCCGTCAGGCCCGTTGGGCTGAACTCCTTAGTGGGTTCAGTTTCGACATTCGTTATCGTGCAGGTTCCACGAACCTGGCTGACCCCCTCAGCAGACAGCCGATAGGGGCAGCAACTGGGCTTGACGATACCGAACATGCGGCTGTTTTTGCTGCCTGTTTTGGCATACTAGCTGCGGCGAAAGTGAGCGAGATCGCGTTTAGTGGTTTTCTGAAACGAATTCGCACAGGATATCATATCGATTCCTGGTTCCAGAACCCACAAAACACTATGCATTTGATTTGGGAACACGATCTTTGGTGGCGAACAAAAGAGATTGCGGTACCTCATGTCGGCAATCTGCGGAACGATATCTTGGAAGAGGTGCACGCCACTAAATATGGGGGACACTTGGGCATGAATAAGACCCGGTGGGCCTTACTCGATGTATACTGGTGGCCAGGGGTCGGTAGTGATGTCCAACAGTTTGTGGCACGTTGTGACACGTGCGCACGTAACAAACCGGACACACAAAAGCCTGGTGGTTTGCTTCAACCACTTGAAATTCCGAGTGAACCTTGGGAAAGCGTTTCACTGGATTTCATCACCGACCTCCCAAGAACCCGTGATGGGTCTACGGCGATACTTGTCTTTGTAGATCGCCTTACAAAAATGGTGCACTTTGTACCCACGACAACGGACGTATCAGCCGAGGATACGGCTCGGTTGTTCGTGACATATGTGTTCCGCCTACACGGATTGCCACGTGTGTTAGTGTCTGATCGCGACCCGCGCTTCACGAGCCGATTCTGGCGTGAAGTAACTGAGACAATAGGAACGAAGCTTAAGATGTCGTCAGCGTTCCATCCCCAAACAGATGGGCAAACGGAACGGACTAATCGCACTCTCGAGCAGATGCTTCGTTCTTTCATAAGCCCAACACAAGACAACTGGGACGAGTTGTTACCCATGGTCGAGTTTGCGGTTAACAACTCAGTGCATGATAGCACACATGAAAAACCATTTATCCTGAACTGTGGTCGGCATCCCACAACACCTGCTATGCATGGGATCGGCGGGTTGAAATTACCTGCCGCAAAGGATTTTGTGGGCAAGCAGCGAGAGGCCCTAAAGTCGGCACGTCGTTGGTTGCAATTGGCCCAACAAAGGCAAAAATCCTATGCCGATATGAAACGCCGGGAAGTCTCATTCTCCGTTGGAGACAAAGTTTTGTTAAGCACGAAGAATATTCGGCTTAAGATCCCTGGTGCGAGAAAGTTGTTCCCTCGCTGGATTGGGCCCTTCGAGGTGATTCAACGAGTTGGTGCGGTAGCTTACAAGCTAAAGCTACCTGATACCCTGCAGATTCACAATGTCTTCCATGTGTCTCTGTTAAGCAAGTATGTTGCAGAAGGCAAGTACTTACCACCACCAACAATCGTCCTAGGGGAGGAACTATATTATGAAGTCGAGCGAGTGCTATTGCATCGTAATCGACAACGCGGCCGCAAAACTGTACGAGAGTTCCTCATTAAGTGGAAAGGCTATGGGCATGAACACAACTCATGGGAGCCGGAAGAACATTTGACTGATACTGCGGTTCAGTCTTACATGGAAGACCTGGCTCAGCGAGCACTCCCACAACCAGCGGATGGTGTTGACCCTGGTCGTAATGTGGTTCGTCGTGCTCGTAGCACTCGTCCTAAGAAGCACCCCACAGCAACGAGGACGTTGCCAGCTGGAGGGGGAGGAGTGTAACATCCGTACCCAACCCCAGCTGGTCTCGATACGTCGAACCAGCTGAGGGAGAAATGTGGGGAAATCTGGTTGGTTGGGAAAGCGAGACTTACGGGCAATTCAGGATTGATTGGGAAACCAACCAATCGAAATTGTTGCTGAGTCAAACTTACGCAATTGGTTTGAGCTTGTTCAAACATAACCCACGTAAGTTCACCTCATCACTAATTCAACCAATCAGATCACAGCCCCAAGAGTGAGTCGACAATGTTTCCGCCGCTCACTTCAAACACAACCAATGAGAAACAAATACAGGTTTGTGATTGCTATGCAATTCTTATCCTTGCTATCTAAAATGTAATTGGTTGAAAATCTTGTTTGTTGCCACATGGGCAAGACCCAAGGGAGTGCACCCCTCCTTGCCATGGGGAAGGTGGCTGCACCCCAAGGGGGTCAAGGGAAGGGGTCTGAAGCCTCTTGGCTCATTCCTCATTTCCTACTCCCAACAAATCAATTGGGAAATAGGATTGTCTTCTCCTCAACTCACCTTCCACAGTTTGTTACTGCATCTCCTAGCACTCTCCAGACTTAGTGATTTCCAGGAGCTGTTACTCTCTGTTTGTGTTAGAACTTATCTTTATATGGGTAAATGCCCTTTTTCTTAGTAGATCCGTTACAACCGATGGCCTACCGTCTTGCTCTGGTCAGTCGGTAGGTGTTGAAAGCATTTCAGTAGTTTTGGACTGATTAGGCATCGCGATTGGCGTAATGACGATGGCAGTAAACGATTCGTTAGCACAGGAGTGTATTTCGAGTGAAGTGAAAGTGCATTAGCAGTACAGTAGTGGTGCGATGGTTAGGGAACCGGAATATGCAGCAATCGGTTGGCTCTGTGGATAACATATCTCCATCGTACATATGATCCTCTCCGTGGATAACATATCCTCGCACCGCCAGTCGCTTCTTAGCATTGCACTATCGCCAAAAGCTTGCACTAAAGTCTGTGTACTTGCGACTGAACACTGCACCAAGCAGTCAAACGCCTAGGAGAATCGGCGGAGAGTAGCAGATGAAAGCATGAGCCGTCGCCTGCGGATAGCGTGTGCTATCCTCGTTACGGTCGTCTCGTTACAATGGCAGGATCAGGGGTTCGCAACTGGAAGGGAACTGGCTGGAGAGGTTGGTCTCAGCTGGGAATCTAAAAATGCAGGATCTGTGAAAAATAGCATTGGGTTGGTGATACTGCTCACAGAAAATGGCTGGTCGGAGGTGGGAACGTCGTCAGGAGGAGCGGGATCGGCTCAAGATACGGTTGAGATGAGAGCTGGATTGACGAAACGGAAAAGGAGACGTTTATTGCAAGACCCAGTTGTAGATGAATCTGGAATAGGCCGGGTTGAGACCATTGAGAAAGAGATTCAGGACACCTTAGCGGAACAGGGGAAGCCTTTTAACGGCAGCGGTAGCAGTGACGTCAGTGGGAGCGGGGCAAGCGGTGCTGTCAGCAGCGGGAATGGGACGAGCGAGGAGGTGTTGCAACAGGCGTCAGACCCTGACAACAAACGAAGCGAGCTGAGTCCGACCCTGACGTCATCATCGTCGTCAGCAAAAGAGGGTCAAACTGCGGCGGAAGGCACGCGCGCGGAAGCAGGAGCAGGAGGAGAGGCGGAAAGAGGCGTTGAAGAGAAGGAGAAGGAGGAGAAGGAGAGCGCGGGCAAAGTAGCTCCTGATGATTCCTCGTCTGCCAGCCAACCAATTAGACTAGACTGGTAAGGGAGGGAGGGAGGGAGGGAGGGAGGGAGGGAGGGAGGGAGGGAGGGAGGGAGGGAGGGAGGGAGGGAGGGAGGGAGGGAGGGAGGGAGGGAGGGAGGGAGGGAGGGAGGGAGGGAGGGAGGGAGGGAGGGAGGGAGGGAGGGAGGGAGGGAGGGAGGGAGGGAGGGAGGGAGGGAGGGAGGGAGGAAGGAAGGAGGGAGGGTGGGTGGATGGGAGGCAGGGAAGGAGAGAATGGGGGAGGGAGGGAGGGAGTGCCTCACCAGCCAACGTACCTCCCATTCTCCCTCTGCTGCTGCAGGGTATAACCAGTTGTGTGTAAGAAAGGCAAAGAAAGGAGGTACTTAGGCTGGTGTGAGACCAGGAAACGAAAGGACAAGCAAGATTGGCACGAGATGGCCGTGGCCTGTGCCAAAAGAGCTCCTCTCTATCTCCCTCTCTCCCTCCCTGTGCCCTCAGGGCGAAGCCAGCTGCCAGTGACGCACGGGGATAAGCAAATGTCCAGCACAACCAACCAGCAGTTCCAGCACAAGGTGGCTGCGTCCTGTGCTGAAATCTGCTGAAAGTTACTTCTTTCTCTCTCCGTCTGTCTCTCCCACCCGTGGCCCCAATGTGAAGCCAGTGACTCAGAATGAGAAGGATGATGAGGACAAGACGAAGGTGGCAGCAGGCTTGCGTGACAAAAGCTCTACCCTTTCTAATCTTATTGCTGCCTTTGTCTGTCTTCCTTGGACTCATTCGTATGTCCCCAGGCCGAAGCCAGTGACTCAGAAATAGAAGGACGAGGTGGACAGGGCGAAGGTGGCAGCTGCTTGGGTTGACAGCTGCTGAAAGTGCCTACCTACCTTCCTGTCTTTGCCCCTCTCCCATCTATGCCCCCAGGGTGAAGCCAGTTACTCAGAAGGAGAAGGACGAGGAGGACAAGACGAAGGTGGCAGCAGGCGTTTGTGACAAAATCCAGAGCTACGCGAAGCTGTACGGGGAGGGGCTGATAGCCTGGCAGCCACAGGCAGACAAATACGTGTTGATGGACTGCCACAGGAACCAGGTGAGGAGGGTTGGGGTTGGGAGGAGTGGAGAGCGGTGTATAGTACGGTTCCCCTCCCTTGCATGGCAGCTGCAGACAGGCCAATACGTGTGGAGGGCTGTCACAGCAACCAGGTGAGGGGGAAGAGAGAAGTAATGGGGTGTGAGGGAATCGAGTGTGTGAGAAAATTCAGAGCTACGCTGTTCTGTACGGGACGGGCAGCAAGAACTACCTCCGGGCAGCGGGCTACTTGAACCGCACGCTGGTGGTGCCTCTGCCCACTCCCCCCCACCCCACCCCACCCCACCCCACCCCAACCCACCCCTTTCCCACTTCTTCCCACCGCACTCCACCCCTCCTCCCCCCTCCCCACTTACATCACTAGATGAGCAACCGAGTGCGGTGCATCAAGAATTACCTCCTGGCAGCGGGCTTTCTGAATCGAACCCTCGTCGTCCCTCTGCATGCCGATGAAATCACCTATAACTACGAACGTCGCGCATACTTTGACATCAACCACACACGCCGATCAACCCCTCCCCATTCCTCTCCACCCCTCACCCCACCCTTCCCCATCCCTTTCAACTGCACTCCACCCCTCCCCACCCCTCTAGATGAGCAATCGAGTCCGTTGCATCAAGAATTACCTCCTGGCAGCGGGCTACTTAAACCGCACGCTCGTCGTCCCTCTGCATGCCGATGAAATCACCTATAACTACGAACGTCGTGCATACTTTGACATCAACCACACACGCCGCTGCTTCGGCCCCCGGACTGTTATCTCTAGGGATGAGCTTTTAGACGAGGAGAGGGAGAGGAGGATGGGCGGTGCAGGAGGGGGAGAAGGGGGAATGGGAGGGGGAGGGGGAGGGGGAGGGGGAGGGGAAGGAGGGTTGAATGTTACGGTGGATGTGGATCAAATCGTCTGTTTGATTGGTCGGTGTTACAATCAGGACCACATGGGCGTCCCGGACCGAATGCCGAACCTAACCGGCATCGGCTACTCGCCGAGCCTAAAGTGGACAAACGGCGGGTTTGTCCAGAGCCATCCAATCAACATTACCGATTTCCACCATGTAGACTCCCTGCTGCTGCCCTCGGCTCGGCTCATCACCTTCAGTGACCTAGGTTCATTGACTCTAGACGCTTCTAGGACGGAGGATGGCAGGTTTATGAATAATCTCGACCTTCCGTTTGTTCGACTCCCGGGCTGCCCGAACCCTCTGGCGATCCAACCTCATCCCGTGATTTTTGAAGTCGCAGATGCGTTTGTGCGGTCTAGGCTTTTGCAGGGACTGCCCCGGGAATGGGAAGTGAAGAATGGCAGCAGCAGCGATGGTATCAGCAGCACTGGAAGTAGCACCAGTGCCAGCAATAGCAGCAGCAATAGCAGCAGCAGCAGTGATGGCAGCAGCAGCAGCAGCAGTGGGGAGGGGAACAGCAGTCTGGCGATCGGACGGTACATGGCGATTCACTGGAGACGGACGGACCTGATTAAAAGTTTCAAGGACCCGCTGTCGCATCTGACGGTGGAGCAGACAGGGAGATGCGTGGCTAGGAAGATGATCCGGTCGGGCAACTTGACAACGCTGTTTCTTGCGACTGACACGAATGACGAGGAGGTGAGTGACCTACAGATAGTGATAACATTGTACTGTCCAAAAGAATAGTTGATTCATTTAGGGAGGACTCATGTTTCATAAGCAGCCAACTCTGTTTATTTTGATGCGAACAAAGATGAGGTGAGGAAAAGGCAATTTATTACTGTTTACTGCTTTCAAGGTGACGTGAGAAAACTTATCTACTATTTTGAATTCACGTTTGTTTGCAGGATTCTTCCTTCGGTCCATGCCCTTTTGCCCCCCTGCACCTGTTTTTGAGGCTCTAACATTCTTACATCCCTAACCCCTCGCATTCATTCCTGCAGGTGAATGAACTTGAGAAAATCATGCGTACCTACATCCCGAACCTGAGGCTGGTTCGGCAGCCGATGTTCCTGACAGGCGAGGACTGGGCGGCACTTCTTGCTCAGGCCAATTTCACCCACATGTTCACTGTACAAGCTATGCTCGATAAGGTGATTTGTGCTATGGCAGATGTGTTTTCGGGCACAGATGCGTCATCTTTCTCGTTGGATATTACCAGGATTCGAGCAGGGCTTAGGTTTCAAGTGTGTGACGATGCACCTATTTGTCACGGGCAAGCTCTTGTTGGCGAGCGGTGATGTAAGAATTTTATTTTCATTCCGTTTTTGTTACTATTTTTTCATCTGACAGTGGGAATCCCTCTACCACAATTCCCTGTGGGTGATTTCAGTGGATCGAATTATATGGAACCCTTGCGAGGGACACTCTTTTCTATGTTTACAGTAAAATGAGTAAGCTATACATGAATTAATACAAGGACATGCTCAGACGGAAATGACACAATATTACATAAGCAGTTCGGAGATGACAACGCGTACTCCACTGGGACTGGCGACAACAGCATTTGAACTCTGAATGCTTAGGTCGCTCTGAACCACATCCAACCCTTCTCGTAGCTTTCCTGAACATTCCGAAACGTCTAGAAAACTACCAAACCGCATTGTAGTCTACTCTCGCACTACCTTGCCCGCACCACCCACTACATTCGGCAGGAGCATTGTAAAGAGAATAATTTGTGCGTTCTAGTTTGTCAGCCATTGTTCATGTCACGACTCTCGACTCACGATAATAGGAGTCACCACTGACAAGTGATGATCGCTGGTTGCGCTGCGTGATTGGTCGGTGCAATGGCGACGGTGATTGTCAGCGTTCCCAGCTCAGATTGAAATGTAGTTAGTGTAATGGCGGAACTGGTTCTGTCATACATGATTCGATTCTGCTCCTAATCCTGCGCTTCGCCAGGCCTTTTCCAAGCTGCTGTTGCACCGGGTTCTATAACTTGATTCTGTACTTAATCGTCAGCGACTAAGAGAATCGTCTGAGAGCAACTGATGTAAGCATGAGAGATCGCCTGCGGACAGCGTGTGTTATCCTCGTTATAGTCGTCTCTTTACAATGGCAGAATCAGAGGTTTGCAACTGGAAGGGAATTGGATGAAGAGGCTGGCTTTTATGAAGGATCCAATTCGATGCCATCGGGAGTACCGAGATTGAAATTGAAAGAAGGCTCGCATGAGAGCAGCAATGGAGGCAGGGATACAGTCCAGGGTATTATTAAGGCGTTTGTAGCATCTTCTCGGGTTTACGAAGCGGTTCGGAGGAAGACGAATGTGGGTGAAGAGGAGGCGACGGCACATGTTCCGATTGGGCGAAATGAAGCAGGTGAACCAGAGCAACGTAAAGCGGAAAATGATGATAATGCCGCTGATATTGTTCTCGGTACAGCCGAGACAAACGAGGATACGGCTATTTTAGCCCGAGATACGGCCGTGCGAGCCTGGCTGAAGACTTGGAAAAGAAGATTGTTATCGCAAGATTCGATAGTAGATGAATCTATATTAGGCCGGGTTGAGGTTATTGAAAAGGAAATTCAGGACAACTTAGCGGGACAAGGGAATGTTACAGAGCTGTTGCAGCGGGTGTCGGCCATACGAAGTGCGCTGACTCAGATTCTGACGTCATCACCATCGTCAGCAGAAGATGCTCGGACCGCCAACAGAGGAGAGAGCGAGGAAGGAGGGAAGGAGTTCAAATGAGTAGTTATTGGGGAGAACGAGTATGAGAACAGACAGAGGAGCGCAACGGATGCAATGGGTGATACTAACCGGCCCATCAGAACCGACTGGTGAGTGCGTAGCATTGGTGTTGTGGAGGAGGAGGAGGGAGTGGGGGAGTGCAAGTGGGTGAAGAAGGAAGCAGTGTGGTGGGTGCAGTGGGTGCCACTAGCCGACCCATCAGAACCGAAAGGTGAGTGCGTAGCATTGGTGTTGTGGAGGAGGAGGGAGTGGGGGAGTGCAAGTGGGTGAAGAAGGAAGCAGTGTGGTGGGTGCAGTGGGTGCCGCTAGCCGACCCATCAGAACCGACTGGTGAGTTCAAATGAGTAGTTATTGGGGAGAACAAGGAGCATGAGGAGAGAGGAGTGCAAGTGGGTCAACAAGGATGCACTGTGGTGGGTGCAGTGGGTGGATGCCAGCCTACTATTTAGAGACGATTGCACATTGTGTGTGAGAAGATTCAGAGCTATGGAAAGCTGTAAGGGACGGTGCTTAGAGACCCGGCGCTTCATCTTTCAGGCTGTATGTGAGGAGATCCGGCGCTATGGTGGCAAGCCGTGTGTGAGCAGCGCTATGGTGGCAAGCCGTGTGTGAGCAGCGCTATGGTGGCAAGATGAAATGTGACAAGACTCAGATCCACGCGTCTCTTTGTCCCTCTCTCCGTCCCTGTGCCCGCAGGGTGAAGCCAGTGACCCAGGAAGAAAAGGAAGAGGCGGGCCGGAAAAAAGTAGCAGCAGGGGTGTGTGACAAGACGCAGAACTATGGCAAGCTGTATGGGATGGGGCCAATAGCGTGGGAGCCGCAGCCTGGGAAATACGTGCTGATGGATTGCTACAGGAACCAGATGAGGGGTTGGGAGGAGTGTAAAGCGTTGCATAGTATGGGTGTCCCAGAGGGCAGCAGCAGGGGTGTGTGACAAGAGGCAGAACAATGGCAAGCTGTATGGGATGGGACTAATTTCTTGGGAGCTGCAGCCTGGGAAATACGTGCTGATGGACTGCTATAGGAACCAGGTGAGGCGGTTAGGAGGGGTGGAGAGCGGTGTATGGTAGGGTATCTCTGTGGGGCAGCAGGAGTGTGTGACAAGGCTCAGAACTATGGGAAGCTGTCTCAGAGACACGGGGTTAGCATAGCCCTCAGAGGGGAACTGACAACACAAGCCCTTAAATTTATGAGGAAGGCAGGACACTAGGAGCCCTTAAATAGGCTCAGAGGGTACAAAGCAGGGGGCAGAGGGCTACCCACTCCCCTCCACCCCATTCCACCCCACCCTACTTCACCCCACTCCTCCCCACCAGATGAGCAGCCGAGTGCGATGAATGAACTAGTTCCTAGTAGCAGCGGCCTACAAAAACCGCACTCTCGTCGTCCCTCTGCACGCTGACGAAATCAGCCGCAACTACGAGCGCCCCGCACACTTCGATCTCAACCACACTCCACCCCTTCCCACCGTACTCCACCCACCAGATGAGCAACCGAGTGCGGTGCATGAACAAATACCTCCTGGCAGCGGGCTACTTGAACCGCACGCTGGTGGTGCCTCTGCATGCCGACGAAATCAGTCGCAATTACGAACGCCGGGCCTACTTCGATCTCAACCACACTCCACCCCTTCCCACCGTACCCCACCAGATGAGCAACCGAGTGCGGTGCATGAACAAATACCTCCTGGCAGCGGGCTACTTGAACCGCACGCTGGTGGTGCCTCTGCATGCCGACGAAATCAGTCGCAATTACGAACGCCGGGCCTACTTCGATCTCAACCACACTCCACCCCTTCCCACCGTACCCCACCAGATGAGCAACCGAGTGCGGTGCATGAACAAATACCTCCTGGCAGCGGGCTACTTGAACCGCACGCTGGTGGTGCCTCTGCATGCTGACGAAATCAGTTGCAATTACGAACGCCGGGCATACTTCGATCTCAACCACACTCGCCGCTGCTACGGCCCTCGCACGGTGATTTCCAGAGATGAGCTTTTAGAGCTGGAAAAGGGAGCGGGGGGGAGCGATACGGTGGTTCTGGATCAGATTGTATGTTTGTACGGTCGCTGCTACGATCAGGACCCTGTAGGTATTCCAAAGAATATGCCGAACTACACCAGCATCGGCTTCTCGCCGAACCTGACGTGGACGTCCGGGGGATTTCTGTCAAGCCATTCAGTCAACATCACCGATTTCCAATCAATAGATTCCATGCTTCTGCCCTCGGCTCGTCTGATCACGTTCGATGACCTAGGTTCGGCAATGCTAGATGCTTCCATGCAGGCGAATGGATCACGTATGAACAATCTCGAGCTTCCGTTTATTCGTTCCCCGGGCTGCCCGAACCCGCTGGCCATCCAACCGCATCCCGCGATTCTGGAAGCAGCAGATGCGTTCGTACGGTCAAAACTTTTGCAGGGGCTGCCTCGAGAATGGGAAGTGAATAATAGCAGCAGCAGCAGCAGCAGCGGTGAAGGGGGGAGCAATAATAGTTCAGCGTTTGGACGATACATGGCGGTTCACTGGAGACGAACGGACCTGATTAAAAGTTACTTACATCTGACGGTGGAGCAGACAGGGAGATGCGTGGCGAGAAAGATGGTTCGGTCTGGCAATTTGACAACCCTGTTTCTTGCGACTGACACGAATGACGAGGAGGTGAGAGATATCGAGGGCGGAATTTCCTATACTGGTTGAGGTAACTTCTGGGTGTTTGGCCAGGAAGATGATTCGGTCGGGCAACTTGACAAACTCTGTTCCTGGCGACAGACACGAATGAGGAGGAGGTGGGTGAGATACAAGTTGATACCGTGTGTGTGTAACAGATGACTATTGTCTAAAGCATATGGATGGCTGGTCGGACACGGCTCAGAAATAGACTCGTTCGTTATGTCATTCATGCCTTTTTCCCACCCTAGAGCACTTTTGAGACATCTCATAGTTGCCTCTCTCCTTACCTGGAGCATTTTTCCTTCACACATCTCCCTACGCCTTTCCCACAGGTGAAGCAGCTGGAGCAAGTTATCCGTACCTCCATTCCGAACCTGAGGCTGGTTCGGCAGCCGACGAACCTGGCAGGCGAGGACTGGGCGGCAGTGCTTGCCCAGGCCCATTTCACTCACATGACTACAGTACAAGCTGTACTTGATAAGGCGATATGCGTTATGGCGGATGTGTTTTTGGGGACTGATGCGTCGTCTTTTACGGCTGATATAAATAGGATTCGAGCAGGGCTCAGATTTCAAGAATGTGATGATTCGCCGATATGTCATGGGCTGCCTGTGGTGGGAGATCGGTGAGTTTGGGGAATTATTGTACCATGTAGTGTGCCTTGCTCACAGTAACATCTGTTACGGTAACATATTGACATTTGGAAAGAATGTGAGTGAGGTAAATTGCTTGCAGAGCCCCTCTTTTGGATCCTCGAAGGGGTGAGTAGCAGGCCCCTAGATTCGTTTTGGACCAGGCTGATCCATCAGCATTGGTATGGATAGAAACGCTGACAATCAGCGTTACCTAGGAAAAAACCGCTGGAAATTCAGCTTTCTTAAAAAAATTACGCTGATTGTGTAAGTTTTGTTTTTTAAGCATTACTGCTTACAGAAACAAAGTGTACATCTTCATGGTTGGTTTGGGAGTGGCAAGGGAAGCAGGTGGGCTAGGGGGAGGGGCCAGCAGGTTGGCTGAGAGAGGAACGTGGGCTGGAGAGTCGAGTGGAAGTGGGCGAGTGGAAGAAGTGGGCTGGGTTGGGGAGAGATTCGAGTGGAAAAAGTGGGTTGGGGGGAGATTCGAGTGGAAAAAGTGGGTTGGGGGGAGATTCGAGTGGAAAAGGTCGGTTGGGGGGAGATTCGAGTGGGAAAAGTGGGTTGGGGGGAGATTCGAAAGGAAAATGTGGGTTGGGGGGAGATTCGAGTGGAAAAAGTGGTCGGGAGGAGATTCGAGTGGAAAAAGTGGGTTGGGGGGAGACTGAGTGGAAAAAGTGGGTTGGGGGGAGATTCGAGTGGAAAAAGCGGGTTGGGGGGAGATTCGAGTGGAAAAAGTGGGTTGGGGGGGATTCGAAAGGAAAAAGTGGGTTGGGGGGAGATTCGAGTGGAAAAAGTGGGTTGGGGGGAGATTCGAGTGGAAAAAGTGGGTTGGGGGGGATTCGAAAGGAAAAAAGTGGGTTGGGGGGAGATTCGAGTGGAAAAAGTGGGTTGGGGGGAGATTCGAGTGGAAAAAGTGGGTTGGGGGGAGATTCGAGTGGAAAAAATGGATTGGGGGAAGATTCGAGTGGAAAAAGTGGATTGGGGGGAGATTCGAGTGGAAAAGGTGGGTTGGGGGGAGATTCGAGTGGAAAAAGTGGGTTGGGGGGAGATTCGAGTGGAAAAAGTGGGTTGGGGGGAGATTCGAGTGGAAGTAGCGGGCTGGGTGGATTTTAATGGATCCCCCTAATGCGGGTTACTGTGCACCCCCTATACAAGGCTGAGTGCACAGCCTACACTCCTACAAAAAGACTGGAAAAACAAAGAAGGTTTAAAAAAACACACTGGACAATCAGCCAAGGTACATAACAAAAAAAGCCTGATCTAACGCTGAATCAGCGAAAGAAGGCTAATATCTAGGGCACTGGTGAGTAGTAGACACTTGATGCTGGCTTTTGTGCATCGACAATCACTACACATTCACAAAGCCTAATAATATATTATACCGTATCAACAAGTGAGGACGCTTGAGGTTTTTGAGTTAATTGAGAATCATAAAGCAACAACAAATGTGTCTTCTTAAACAAGGTACGGGGAGTCAAGCACCGCAAAGCCAGAGGCCACCCCTCCCTCGTTGGAGCTTGCGGTTTTGGTGCGCAATAGGTGGCCTGCTGCTGCGTTGATAACCACCTTGTCTCCGTTTCTGAAGGCGAAGGGGAAGGAGAGGAGACGTGCAAGAGGAAGGGAGTGTTGGTGGTTCATGTATAGCACACCTGAGGGACGCACCATACATGCCTGCTCAGCTCTGAGAAAGTGCCGTTCCAGCTGTGCTGGCACCGCCGGATGAGCGAAGAGGCGCTGCATAAGGATGAACACTGCTAGCTGCTGCCGCCCCGCCTTCCCTGCTGCGGACCCTGATCCCTGCCCACACCCACCTGAGGTACGTGCCGTAAACTCCTAGCTCTGAAAGGGTATCGTTCCAGCTCCATTGGCAGCGCCGGATAAGAACCGATCGGTGCACGGGGGGGAACAGCCGCTGCATGAGAATGAAGGCTGCTAGCTCCTGCCTCCCCGCCTCCCCTGCTTCTGTCAGCTCCGTGAGCTTCCTGGTAATTTCCTCGTCGTAGATGTTGTTGCCTGCACAGAGGGGTGGATTGGGTTGCAAAGCGGTTAGAGGGTTTACTGGTCAGGCCAGCTCAAATCATTGACTAACAACTGGGAGAGCTAAGGAAAAAACGATTCTGTTTAGATAAGCACAAAAACAGACACCCACACACACACACACACACACACACACACACACACACACACACACACACACACACACACACACACACACACACACACACACACACACACCCACCCACCCACCCACCCACCCACCCACGCACGCACGCACGCACGCACGCACGCACGCACGCACGCACGCACGCACACACACACACACACACACACACACACACACACACACACAAAAAGGGGGGGGGGAGGTTGTTATAAGACAAACAGTTTTTGCCCAACTGGTCAGAAGAATAAACCGTTCCTGTTCACGCAACTGTTTATTTACTAGGTTTAGCTCACATCTGCCTTCTCTTTGATGCTTCAACACAGAATCCGTCCCTTAGATGTTCCCAAATCGCCTGTCGAGACATCTCAAAAGCCTTTCAACACATCACTGAACTGAAACATCCACTGGCTCACCTCCTCCCTCTCTTTGCGGCTTCAGCACAAACTCTGACGGTTCTTGAATCGCTTTTGCAATGATTGCTCTCCGTTCTGCTCCATCATCGCCCCTCCCATCGTCTTCCAGGCTCCACAGCCCGGCGAAGCATTGCCGCATGGCCTGCAGGGAAGCCTCGTCAGACACAAACCTGGTTGAGGGAAATTGGGAGAGGGAGACGATAGCATTGACGGAAAGGGGGTGGGGGAGTGCATCATCGCCCCCCCCATCGTCTTCCAGGCTCCACAGCCCGGCGAAGCACTGCCGCATGGCCTGCAGGGAAGCCTCGTCAGACACAAACCTGGTTGAGGGAAATTGGGAGAGGGAGACGATAGCATTGACGGAAAGGGGGTGGGGGAGTGCATCATCGCCCCCCCCATCGTCTTCCAGGCTCCACAGCCCGGCGAAGCATTGCCGCATGGCCTGCAGGGACGCCTCATCAGACAAAAACCTGGTTGAAAGGGAAGGGGAGAGAGAAACGTGAAAGCTGATCAGCAGACGTGGGAATGACGTGTGAACGTGGGCGGCAGACCAACACAGAACCTCTTTAAACTGGTGGCATGACTTTTGAGGCACCTGAAACACAGCAGCTCTTCTACTATGAGCAAACTTTTGAGGCGTCTTGAAACAGCAGCCCTTCTACTACAAGCAAAGAAGACACGAGAGAGAGGGACGTGAGCGGCAGACCAACAAAGGAGCTCTGAATGAACCGGTGGTATGCCCAACCGATGGTGTTCACATCACATCTCGCAAGAGCTCCAACTGGTGAAAGCCCGCGTGAGCCCAAGCTGGTGAGACACGTGACTGCTCATGCTCATTTCACGAGTTGTTTTCCCTCCCATAAGCTCCCCACTAGCCGCTCCTCTGCTCTTACCTCTCCAACACGCCAGGTTGTGCCAGCTGCTGCTGCACCTTCTTCGCTCTGGCAAGGTGGTATGCGATAGTGGGACACTTCACTGCTCACAACCACACACGCATACACACCCTCTGCTCTTACCTCTCCAACACACTGGGTTGTGCCAGCTGCTGCTGCACCTTCTTCGCTCTGGCAAGGTGGTATGCGATAGTGGGACACTTCACTGCTCACAACCACACACGCATACACACCCTCTGCTCTTACCTCTCCAACACACTGGGTTGTGCCAGCTGCTGCTGCACCTTCTTCGCTCTGGCAAGGTGGTATGCGATAGTGGGACACTTCACTGCTCACAACCACACACACATACACACCCTCTGCTCTTACCTCTCCAACACACTGGGTTGTGCCAGCTGCTGCTGCACCTTCTTCGCTCTGGCAAGGTGGTATGCGATAGTGGGACACTTCACTGCTCACAACCACACACGCATACACACCCTCTCCTCTCACCTCTCCAACATACTGGGTTGTGCCAGCTGCTGCTGCACCTTCTTTGCTCCTGCACGCTTCACTGCTGACACTCACACGCACAGCCCATATGTTTCCACCTGTTCTCCCCTCAAAATATCCCTCCAACGCTCCTGTCTCATCTCACCTCTCCAACACTCCCGCCTGTGCCAGCTGCTGCTGCACCTTCTTTGCTCCAGCAAGGTGGTATGCGATGGTGGGACACTTCACTGCTGACATTCACACATTCACACACGCACGCACACCCTCTCCTCTCACCTCTCCAGCACGCCTGGTTGTGCCAGCTGCTGCTGCACCTTCTTTGCTCCAGCAAGGTGGTATGCGATGGTGGGACACTTCACTGCTGCTGATCGCTCAAGGAGCAGGCGAACTTCCCATTCCTGGGATTAGAGGAGGGGGGTGATATGGAGGAGTGTGTTACAAGGGAACGTGGGGTTCAGGCAAGGTGGTATGCGATGGTGGGACACTTCACTGCTGCTGATCGCTCAAGGAGCAGGCGAGCTTCCCACTCCTGGGATTAGAGGAGGGGGGTGATATGGAGGAGTGTGTTACAAGGGAACGTGGGGTTCAGGCAAGGTGGTATGCGATGGTGGGGCACTTCACTGCTGCTGATCGCTCAAGGAGCAGGCGAGCTTCCCATTCCAGGGATTAGAGGAGGGGGGTGATATGGAGGAGTGTGTTACAAGGGAACGTGGGGTTCAGGCAAGGTGGTATGCGATGGTGGGACACTTGACAGCTGACGATCGCTCGAGCAATAGGCGTGCGTCCCACTGCTGAGAGTAGCATTGGATTGATAAGGGGGAGGGGAACAGATAGGAGTTGAGTTGCATTGCAACGGTGAGGGCACTTCACTGCAGATAATCGCTTGAGTTGAGAGCAATAGGCGCGCCTCACACTCGTGCAATTCAGTCGGGTACTTTGTTTTGTTGCCTGCTATCCTGATAAGGGGGGGCTGTACGGAGTGGGGTTGGATTGCAACGGTGAGGGCACTTCACTGCGGTTAATCACTCCGGTTAATCACAAGAAATGTCTGAAATATGAGCTGCCAATGAGACATGAACTTACCAGATCGGTCGGGTAATCACCGGGACCATATCCTGCACGGTAATATACCACTGATATGCGATGGCCATCACTGGTGTGTGCATGGGATAAGGGGAGAAGACAGGGAAAACCACGAGGGCGTGTTTGCGTCAGCAGTTAGAGACGAATCAGAACTCAAGGCAATGGTCAAGGTTGGTTTCTAAGACGTCCCAAAAGAGGAAAATTCTGACAGTCCAACTTGTCGCACGCACGCACACACACTCTCAAACAAACAGACAGACACACACACACACACACACACACACACACACACACCCACACCCACACACACGCACACGCACACCTACACACCCTCACACAGACACACTCACACACACAAACAGACACAGACATAAACTCACAGACGCACTCACACTGTCAATTCTCCAGCGTCTGTTATTGCCCCCTGCTGCTGCACCTCTCTCAAACTCCTCCTCAGCACTCTAATCCCATGCCTTTGCCACACGAGTTGCGACAAGCAGTGCTGGTCGTACATGTTGCGCTCTGGCTTCTGCACAACCATCAGGATCATAGAGCTGCTCTGGGGGTGGAGAAAGGGCAAGGTAGTGGTGGGAGAGAGAGGTAGTTGCGCTGTGACTGTGCACACATGTTGCGCTCTGGCTTAGCACCACCATCAGTATGAGAGAGCTGCTCTGGGGGAGCGCGGTGGGGAAAGTTGGGAAGAGATGGAGCACGGTGGTGGGGGAGCAGCAGTGCTGATTGTAAATGTCGCGCTCTGGCTTCTGCACCACCATCAGTATGAGAGAGGTGCTCTGGGGGAGTGCGGTGGGGAAAGTTGGGAAGAGATGGGGCACGGTGGTGGCGGAGCAGCAGTGCTGATTGTAAATGTCGCGCTCTGGCTTCTGCACCACCATCAGTATGAAAGAGCTGCTCTGGTTGGGGTGTTGGGAGGGTGGAGAGAGATAGACGGCAGTGGTTGGGGAGAGGCAGTGGTGGTCGTACATGTTCCGCTCTGGCTTCTGCACCACCATGAGGATTTGGCAGCTGCTCTGGTTTGGGGTGGGTTGGTAGGGAGAGGGCAAGTAGAACGGTAATGGGGAAGGTGAAGAGTGGTGGGTGGGGGACACACACGTGCTGTGCCAAGCAGTGCTGGTCCTACACACAGCACCCACCCATCCCTACCACACAGCACCCAGCACTACCATATGACAGCATGACCCACCTACCTCTCATCCCCGTATTCCTTCCATGCAGCTGCCAGCGCATCTGCCATGTCCATTGCTGCCATGTTGAGATGCACACACAGCACCCACTGACAGAAACCCCTACATCAAAACACCTTGGATTACGCAGACTGGATTCACCTACCTCTCGTCCCCATATTCTCTCCACGCTGCTGCCTGCGCATCTGCCATGTCTGTTGCTGCCATGCTGACACGCACACACAGCACCCATCCCTACCACACAGCACCCAGCACTACCATATGACAGCGTGACCCACCCACCTACCTCTCATCCCCGTATTCCCTCCAAGCCGCTGCCAGCGCACCTGCCATGTCTGCTGCTGCCATATTGACACGCACACACAGCACCCATCCCTACCACACAGCACCCAGCACTACCATACAGCATCATGACCCACCTACCTCTCATCCCCGTATTCCCTCCACGCTGCTGCCAGCGCATCTGCCATGTCCGTTGCTGCCATGTTGAGGGGCACAGCGTCCACCGACAGACCGGCCTTCTCGCCATACATCCCCACCATGTGCCTGGCAGAGGGGGTAGGGATGAAGGATAGAGAGAGTGGGGGGGGGAAATGGGGGGGGTGCGAATATTCTCACGTCCGTTGCTGCCGTGTTGAGCGGCAAAGCGTCCACCGACAGACCCGCCTTCTCGCCATACATCCCCACCATGTGCCTGGCAGAGGGGGTAGGGATGAGGGATAGAGAGAGTGGGGGGGGGAAATGGGGGGGTGTGAATATTCTCACGTCCGTTGCTGCCGTGTTGAGCGGCAAAGCGTCCACCGACAGACCGGCCTTCTCGCCATACATCCCCACCATGTGCCTGGCAGAGGGGGTAGGGATGAGGGATAGAGAGAGTGGGGGGGGGAAATGGGGGGGGTGTGAATATTCTCACGTCCGTTGCTGCCGTGTTGAGCGGCAAAGCGTCCACCGACAGACCCGCCTTCTCGCCATACATCCCCACCATGTGCCTGGCAGAGGGGGTAGGGATGAGGGATAGAGAGAGTGGGGGGGGAAATGGGGGGGGTGTGAATATTCTCACGTCCGTTGCTGCCGTGTTGAGCGGCAAAGCGTCCACCGACAGACCCGCCTTCTCGCCATACATCCCCACCATGTGCCTGGCAGAGGGGGTAGGGATGAGGGATAGAGAGAGTGGGGGGGGGAAATGGGGGGGGTGTGAATATTCTCACGTCCGTTGCTGCCGTGTTGAGCGGCAAAGCGTCCACCGACAGACCCGCCTTCTCGCCATACATCCCCACCATGTGCCTGGCAGAGGGGGTAGGGATGAGGGATAGAGAGAGTGGGGGGGGGAAATGGGGGGGGTGTGAATATTCTCACGTCCGTTGCTGCCGTGTTGAGGGGCAAAGCGTCCACCGACAGACCCGCCTTCTCCCCATACATCCTCACCATGTGCCTGGCAGGGAGGGAGGGAGAGGATAGCCGGGGACGGAAAGAGCAGGGAAAGGCCGAGGAGTGAGTGGGTGGGGGTGTTCTCGTGCCTGTTGCTGCTGTGCTGAGAGGCACAGCGCCCACCGACAGACCCGCCTTCTCCCCATACATCCCCACCATGTGCCTGGCAGGGAGGGAGGAAAGAGAAGTGTAGACTATATGTATAAATGTATAATGTTTATATATTATATTCAAGTACAGGTACATCATGGCATTCATTCATCATAGCAGAAATACTGAAAGGAACTTGGAAATTCATGAAAATACTAACAGCATTCACATCAGCTTCCCGATGCAAGCACTCTCCTGCAATCCCCCTTTTTCCCCCCCTCCTCCAAAAGGATCACCTCCCCTCCTCTTCTTGCCAATGCAAATAAAGTTGATCTCTTTCCCCCCCTCCTCCAAAAGCTCACGGACCTCCTCGTTCACCTGTCCAGGTCTTTGACTCGAGACGTGAGCCCAGGGAAGGACGAGGAGATGGTGTTGAGCTCCACTTGCAGCACGCCCCCTGTGACACCAAACCCGCCCTTCGTGATGCCTACCCTTTGTAGCACCGTCCCTCACCGGTGCAGGTCCGTGACCCTTGAGGTGAGCCCAGGGAAGGGCGAGGGGATGGTGTTGAGCTCCACTCCATTTGCAGCACATTCACACGCAGCAAAGCAAACCCATCCTAAACAACACCAGCCAGCCCTGTCACGCAATACCCTCTATCTATCCCAAGCCTCCTGTGATTTGCTCCCTGCCCACCTGTGCAGGTCCGTGACCCTTGAGGTGAGCCCAGGGAAGGACGAGGAGATGGTGTTCAGCTCCACCTGCAGCACGCCCCCTGTCACTGTGTCCAGCATGTAATCGGATCTGTGCATGCCCAGTCGTATGGGCTGGAATGGAGGGGTCGAGAGCGGTGTAGAGTGGTGGGAGGGATGGGGGAGGAATGGCTGTTAATCTTGTGTTGAGCTCCACCTGCAGCACGCCCCCTGTCACTGTGTCCAGCATGTAATCGGATCTGTGCATTCCCAGCCTTATGGGCTGGAAACAGAGCAGCAGAGAGCGGTGCAGAGCAGTGGAGAGGGGTGCAGAGGGGTGGAGAGGGGTGGAGAGGGGTGAAGAGGGGTTGACATTAGAGGTGACTGGTATTCTTGTGTTGAGCTCCACCTGCAGCACGCCCCCTGTCACTGTGTACAGCATGTAGTCGGATCTGTGCATGCCCAGCTGTACGGGCTGGAAACAGAGAGGGGTGGTGGAGAGGGGTGGAGAGTGGTGGAGAGTGGTGGGAAGGGATGGGAAGATATGCCTGCTAATCTTGTGTTGAGCTCCACCTGCAGCATGGCCCTTGTGACGGTGTCCAGCATGTAGTCCGGCCTGTGCATGCCTAGTCTAATGGGCTGGGAAGGGGGGGGTGCATAAAGTGGGCATGTGGGGGGAGACCAAGGGAGGAGGTTTGGCAGTGTGTTCCGATTTTGCACTAATCAGCTTCTGTTGCTTGCTGATTCCATCCCATGCTGCTGCTCACATCACATTTTGCACTAATCAGCTTCTGTTGCTTGCTGATTCCATCCCATGCTGCTGCTCACATCACATTTTGCACTAATCAGCTTCTGTTGCTTGCTGATTCCATCCCATGCTGCTGCTCACATCACATTTTGCACTAATCAGCTTCTGTTGCTTGCTGATTCCATCCCACGCTGCTGCTCACATCACATTTTGCAGTAATCAGCTTCTGTTGCTTGCTGATTCCATCCCATGCTGCTGCTCACATCACATTTTGCACTAATCAGCTTCTGTTGCTTGCTGATTCCATCCCATGCTGCTGCTCACATCACATTTTGCACTAATCAGCTTCTGTTGCTTGCTGATTCCATCCCATGCTGCTGCTCACATCACATTTTGCACTAATCAGCTTCTGTTGCTTGCTGATTCCATCCCATGCTGCTGCTCACATCACATTTTGCACTAATCAGCTTCTGTTGCTTGCTGATTCCATCCCATGCTGCTGCTCACATCACATTTTGCACTAATCAGCTTCTGTTGCTTGCTGATTCCATCCCATGCTGCTGCTCACATCACATTTTGCACTAATCAGCTTCTGTTGCTTGCTGATTCCATCCCATGCTGCTGCTCACATCACATTTTGCACTAATCAGCTTCTGTTGCTTGCTGATTCCATCCCATGCTGCTGCTCACATCACATTTTGCACTAATCAGCTTCTGTTGCTTGCTGATTCCATCCCATGCTGCTGCTCACATCACATTTTGCACTAATCAGCTTCTGTTGCTTGCTGATTCCATCCCATGCTGCTGCTCACATCGCATTTTGCACTAATCAGCTTCTGTTGCTTGCTGATTCCATCCCATGCTGCTGCTCACATCACATTTTGCACTAATCAGCTTCTGTTGCTTGCTGATTCCATCCCATGCTGCTGCTCACATCACATTTTGCACTAATCAGCTTCTGTTGCTTGCTGATTCCATCCCATGCTGCTGCTCACATCAGATTCCGCACTAATCAGCTTCTGTTGCTTGCTGATTCCATCCCATGCTGCTGCTCACATCAGATTCTGCACTAATCAGATTTCACTGCTCACATGCTGTGTTTCCCTCCCTCAACCATCTCCGCATGAAATCCGAGTAGATCCGATCCGATGTATTAGGAGAAATATGGTTGAATCCTCCGATGCGCATGTATCCACACCTGACCTTCTGTTTAATAGCCACTTGGGTGCAGCTCGATTGTAAGCAGCTTACCTGCTGAATTCCCTGCTTGAGTATCTCAGCGTGTATTCGGAGCAGACCGGCTGTGAAGGAGTCAGAAAGCCCTGCACTGAAACAGGGGGATGGGGGTCATGCATGGCATGAAGGCGCATTTAGTGGGTGAAAGTCAGACTGACTCACAGGTGAAACAAGACAAGGGGACACGTGGTGCTGTGAATCAGACCGCCCTGCACTGAAACAGGGGGATGTGAATGCTGATGGAAACTGGCGGATTGACTGACGGCATCCATCAGCTCATTGAAGAGAGGGGCGAGCTGACGTAACATTCCATCCACCAGTGTGGTTACCAATCCAGTGTGGTTACCAATCCAGTATGGTTACCAATCCAGTGTGGTTACCAATCCAGTGTGGTTACCAATCCAGTGTGGTTACCATAACCACTACGCTGCTAGATAGAGAGAACTCACCTTGCGAGTGTGGATTGCAGGAAATCCGCGTCCCGGCATTCACCAGGTCGTTGAAAGAGAGGCGAGCGGATGTAACGTAAGAGAGGGACCATGCCTGTGTGGTTACCACACCACCACACCACACCACACCAGCCTGACTCACCTTGCGAGAGTGGATTGCAGGAAGTCGGCATCCTGACTGACGGCATCCACCAGCTCGTTGAAGAGAGGGGCGAGCTCCACGGCTCGATGGAAATGGTGCGCTGGGAAGGGCGTGGGGAGCAGCGTCACTGGCGCGGGGACCAGACCTGACCCAGGAACGGAACCGGAGTCCTGGAAGACAGGGAACATCGTGGAAGGGTGAGAGTTGGAGGGTGGATGGAAATGGTGCGCTGGGAATGGCGTGGGGAGCAAAGTCACTGGCGCGGGAATCAGGCCCGATCCCGGAACCGAGCCTGAGGCCTGGAGGACAAGGGAAGAAGTTGTGAGAAGGAAACAACATGGTGGGGGTGGATGGAAATGGTGCGCTGGGAATGGCGTGGGGAGCAAAGTCACTGGCGCGGGGATCAGGCCCGATCCCGGAACCGAGCCTGAGTCCTGGAGAACAGGGGAAGAAGTTGTGAGAAGGAAACAACATGGTGGGGGTGGATGGAAATGGTGCGCTGGGAATGGCGTGGGGAGCAAAGTCACTGGCGCGGGGATCAGGCCCGATCCCGGAACCGAGCCTGAGTCCTGGAGAACAGGGGAAGAAGTTGTGAGAAGGAAACAAAATGGTGGGGGTGGATGGAAATGGTGCGCTGGGAATGGCGTGGGGAGCAGCGTCAGTGGCGTGGGGACCAGGCCCGATCCAGGCATGGATCGGAGTCCTGAAGCAGTCGAAGTCGAACAGGTGGTCGAACATCTCTTTTATCACATGGATCGGAGTCCTGAAGCAGAGGGAAGGAAGACGTAAAATGGGAGGGTATCAGGTATGTGAGGCATATTGGAGTGGTACGACACTAAAATACAAGACTGCGAATGCGTGGGCGAATGTAGAGAATAGATAACGCTGATCGTCCAATGCCTAAGTATCAGTTGCCCTCATGTTGGGAAAAATCAAACTGGAGCGTCCGATCTTCCGTCCAGCCGATCTAGAACGTCCAATCTTCAGTTTAAGCTACCTCAGCAATCTGATATCCGCTTTGGGCTACCTCGGCCGTCCGATCCTCCTTTAAGCATACCTCGACCGTCTGATCGCCGACGACCAGTCCGTTGAGCGACGACCAAACCAGCGACTCGTCCACCATCCCTCGCAACTCCGCGTCCGAAATGCTCTTCTCGAAATCGCTGATCGCGTCTGGTTGACCCATCTGCGTCTCGTGGAACGAGCAAACAACGGTACTACTCGACTTTGTCCTCGTTATAAGCTGCTTTCGGATTGTCGTCACGGAACGACGCGACTGTAATTGCGAACGCAACGGACGAGAAGAGTGAAGAAAGGTGAGCAACTCGTGGCTTCTGGTTACCCGACCAGATGGAGACGCTGCTATCTCTGCTGCAGACAAACAGCCGTTGTACGGGAGCGTTGCACTAGCAGCAGTGGCAGCCATAGCTGCCAGTAGAAAATGAATGACAGGAAACCAGATGAGCCAGATAGCCGTTATGAAAACACCCCGCCTCGATATTGACGAGGAATTCCGATCAGAATTCTGAAGCATTTGGCGTATCATGCGCAGTTGGTTAGATTTCTAGGTTGAAAGAAGTACAATGAAGGAGCACTGGAATTCCCATTTTGCGTCTGATGTACATAATGCATGACATACAAAAACATCTACTATTCATCTACTCAGGTTGCTTCAATATTCAACGAACAATGCAATGCACCAACGTATGGCTTTCTGAAACTGTCTTCTTGTATCATGCACTGCTGTTCTATTCTCTTGGCTGATTGGCCAGTGCCAGCAGAAAGACACTCATGGAGGCATAGAAGGCAACTGTTTGGAGACCTGAGCTGGTTGAAGTGAGCTGCACTGCTTCCCATGCTGTGCTTAGAGGAGCTGTTACAAACGCGGATGCTGATGAGACACTGTTGAAAATGGTTCCGTTTGTAGGGAGGGACAGCTGGAATGAATTTGCATTAGGGTAAAGGGGAGTAGCAGGGGGGAGGGGGAAGGGGGGGGGGGGCGTGGTTGTGAAAGGGGGAAGAGGGGGTGGGGAGGGGGGAGAGGATAGGAGACAAGAACAGAGATCAGGCCAATATATTCAGCATTTTTGCAACTGTGAAAAGCATAAGCTGAATCCTCACAGCAAATGCTTATGGCAATGCCTGGGGCATGCAACAATGTAACAGAACACATGGCAGTGTAACAAAGATGAGCTGTGTTTCGAGTCGAGCCAAGACACGGAGCACATGGCAGTGTAACAAAGATGAGCTGTGTTTTGAGTCGAGCCAAAACTCGGAGCACAGGGCAGTTTAACAAAGATACAAGCCTTCCTTAATCTCACCTGATAAAAAGAGTTGTTTTGAGACGTCTCAAAACAACTCTTTTATCACGTCCTTAATCTCACCTACCGAAAGCCTCCATTTTACAGCGCGGCAACACCACGGCAAGAACCACCTCTCCAAGAACACGCACACACAGTCACCTGCATCTCTGCCTGCACCATCACCACCACACCACCGCCATCCCAACCATCCACTCTCCCGTGCACTCACCGACCAAACGCCATCCAGTGATGGAGCCCCCTCCCCCAGCAGTCTTTCAATCGCCTCCATGCCTGCGCCAGCAGCATCGCCAATCATCCTCCCAACCATCCACTCTCCCGTTCACTCACCGACCAAACGCCATCCAGTGATGGAGTCCCCTCCCCCAGCAGTCTTTCAATCGCCTCCATGCCTGCGCCAGCGGCGTCACCAATCATCCTCGCCACCCCTGCCGTGTCCGCCTGTAGCGCTTCCCCGCTGGATTCCAGAAGCTTCTGCGTCGCTTCCGCACCCGAACCAAGCAGCTTGCCCACCTGGTTCACGAGAAATGAACAAAAAAAAGGCAAAAAGAAGCAATAACTTCGCCACCCCTCCCATGTCCGCCACTTCAGTGAAGAAGCTTCTCCACCAATATCCAGAAGCTTCTGCATTGCTGCCGCAGAAGCTTCACGGGCATCGAACGAGTGGATGTCACTTTCTCGTTTGTCACTTTCTTGTTAGTGTCAATACTAATCAACTTCGCCTGCGGAACAGAACTGCGCGTAATCCCCCCCTCCCTTGTCTTCCCCTCACCCACCCGCTTCGACACTCTCTTCCGCCTCCTCCGCCCGCCAAACATGGTAACCCCATTGTAACCCTGACTTCCTATTACCCACATGCTCCGACACGCACTCTTCCACTTACACAGCGCGTACAAAAATGCCACAGGTCAAGAGTGGTAACTCTAAGGTAACCCTGTGGTAACCCTGTGGTAACCCTATAGTGCCACCCACCTGCTCCGACACGCTCTCTTCGGCTGACACTGCCTTTCCAAAAATGCCTACAGCCGCGCGTTCAAGATCCCCTGTCGCGGAGACTATATCCCCCACCGCGGAATCAAACTGCGCGGTATCCCCGCCCGCGGATCCCGCGCCGGCCACATCGCGGTACGCGGAAACCGCCGCGCGTTTCAAATCCTCCGCGGCGGATACTAGACTTCCCACCGCGGATCGCGCCTTATCTACTCCGGCTGCCGACGCGGCGGCGCGTTCGAGATCTTCCGCGGCAGTAATTAAGCTCCCGACGGCGGATCGCACTTTGTCGGTAGCGGGTGATTCCTCCGCAAGCGCCGCAGCCGCGGACGCTGGCAATGCGGCGAGGAGTGAGACAGCGGGAATCGCGGCGACGGAAGCGGCGCGAGGAGCGGGAGTGCGTGGGCGCTGTGAGAGCGACACTGTGGGTTTGCGTGAACGCGACTCCGCGTGCTCGGGAACGGGCGGCGATAGGCGAACTAAGGACGAAGCGCGGGTGATACAACCTACATGTGCCATGGTGGCTCCTAAAAAGCGAACGACGCGCCTCCCTGCTTGAAGACTCTGGCTCGAATATAAGTGTATTGAAGTTTCCGATTACAAAAACAGTATGGAGTCACAATTTACGAATTATAGTGCAATATTTATCTTGCGTTGGCAATGCTGCTTTCCGATTGCAAGACTGCGCCGGCGCCGTTTGCGGAGGCCACAAGACTGATGGTGAGTCTGCCCGCAAGACCGAATACACCTGTTCTCCGGTATTTCCACACCCCCTATCTTTACGCCCTGGGGTACCTACCCCCGTAAAAATCTGATTTCAAAGGTAGTTAGAAACGAACGCGGGAGTTTCGAAGGTAATAAGACACGACCTCAATGCGAGTTTAACACTCTAACATTGTGGCACTGGGAATTTTCCCCGCTCACCCTGATTACAAATTAGAGTTTCGAATGGCCAGAACCTGACGGCTCTTTACTGATAGACCCGTAGTGTCAGGGTGTCCGTCTCATCGATCCTCAAGCCGTACAGGGTGTCTGGCAAAAACGAGGGTAGGGGGTGTGGAAATACCGGAGAACAGGTGTAGTAGCTATGTCAAGTCAAACGAACTAGCTAGAGAGTCTGTTGACTGGTGTGATGTATGTACGAGCTAGAGAGTCTGTTGCAGCATGAATGAATCTGGGTGTGCTACGTGTGCTATGCAAATGCGAGACGGACGGCTGGCTTGGTTTTGAAATGAACGAACGGCAAGCCGCGATTTGCGGCGTCGTGGAGAAACATGAACCACTGGACGTAACCGCGATAAAGGAGACTGCTTGATAATGTAAACGTATGGCTATGAAACCTACGTCGTTTATGGGAAGCGTGAAAAGGGTCAATGACTTGGAAGTAGTTGCATATATTTTAGTTAGGTAACGGGATTGGCATGCATCCCAATGGATACAATATATTTTAACTGTATTTTCAGTTTGGAGGTATAAATTATGCTCGTCTTTTTTACTGAGAATTATTAGGTGTGCAGCCCAGACAGTCTAATGTCAGAGATTTTAGCAATTTTCTCACTTATGGTTAGTGCACTCCTCAGTATTGTAACGAGTACAGGACTTGTCATTTCTGATGGGTCTTCCAGCCCACAGGAATCCGTCTGTATTCCACCAGATGCGTATGCCTTGTAACTTATCGCAGTTCACTTGCTAATTTTCGCGACCGAGAGCGCGCCGCCATGGGCGCGCTTGTCTACCCCCCGCAGCCGCGCGCGCTGCTTCCGCTTGTTGGCTTGCGCCACTCGAGCACCCCCGTGCGCCATTTCCGCTCCCCCAGAACCCCCCTGAGATTGCTTGACACCCACAGAGTTCGAAAAAAATTGCTCTACTCTGAAACCGCAGCTGCTCGGGGAGAAGAGGGGACCACTCTTCCCCTATTCCCTGCAAGTTTCAAGATCCGCGCGGAAAGGCGCGCAGAGGGCGGAAGGTCTGGCGGGAGGGGAGGGCGCGCAGCGTCTGGGGAGGGGGGAACTCGGGGCGGAAGGGGTGGAGGGCGGGGCAGGGGGAACGCGGATAGCGGAAGGGGCAGAGGGCGGGGTAGGGGAAATCTGGTGGGAGAGGAATCTGATGCGCGGGGAAGCGGAAACAGGCGGGATTCGGTTGGTAGGGGAGGCGGCGGAATAGCGAATCTGCCACGTCAGCAGGCCGGGCGAGGACGTGGACAGGGCCCACGTGGCAGCATCCGTGACGTGGAGGACGCAGGATATTACGACGAGGGCTCGGGGTTTACTGTAGCAGATGGGGATATGGGGAGTGCGCGGGAAAGGGGGGAGAGCAGCGAAACGCGCGGGCTGAATGGAGGGGGAAGGGGAAGGGGAAGGGGAGATGGAAGGGAAGGAGGAGGAGCAGGGGAAAGGGGGAGGGGACGCGGAGGGTCTTTGGGTCGTGTAGTCTCAGATCGGGGTTTAGGAGGTGTAGGAGGAGGTTCAAGAGGAGGTTTAAGCGGAGGCTTAGAAAGGGGTTTAAGCGGGGGGTTAAGGGATGGGCCAAGGCCGGGAGTGAGAGGGGGGCGGGGCGGAGGAGGAGGGGAAGACGCAGATTTGCTGAGCGCGTATGAGGGGGACGAGTCGAAGAAAGTGTGGAAGGCAGAAAGACAGATGCAGAGACAAGCAGGTCGGTGGGGTTTTGGGTGGGAAAGGAGAGAGGTACGAGGGAACAAGGGTGGGAGGATGCAGATTTGCTGTGCGTATGAAGGGGATGAGTTGAAGAAGGTGTGGAAGGCAGAGAGGCAGATGCAGAGGCAGGCAGGTGAGCGGTGGTGGTGGGTGAGGGGGAGTGAGGTGGGTTTAGGGGAAAAGAAGGAGTTATCCTGGGCAGGGAATGAGGGGGATGAGTCGAAGAAGGTGTGGAAAGCAGAAAGGAAGATGCAGAGACAAGCAGGTGAGCATTGGTGGTGGGAAAGGGAGGGATTGATGGGGCATACTTGGTAGCAAACAGGGAACGAGTCGAAGAAAGTGTGGAAGGCCGAGAGGCAGATGCAGAGGCAGGCAGGTCAGTATTGCTGGTGGGAATGATATAAGGAGGACGAGGTTTGTAGGAAAAGGGAAGGCAGGATGGGGAATTTCTGAGTGCATATGAAGGGGATGAATCGAAGAAGGTGTGGAAGGCAGAGAGGCAGATGCAGAGGCAGGCAGGTCAGTCGGGAGGTCTGGAAAGGGATTATAGCCCAAACCGGCTCACATCATTCTGTTCTTCAAAGCTCTTTTACTTATTTGCAAGTTCGCACGCTTGTTGTTTTAGCTGATGTGAGGGCAGCCGCAGACGGGAGCTCAGAGGTGACGTTTGAGTCGACTCAAAAGTCACCTCTTATTTTGCAAGTTCGCCACGCTTGTTGTTTTAGCTGATGTCAGGGCAGCCGCAGACGGGAGCTCTGCTGCTACAATCTCGTTCATTCCATATCCCAACTCCCCTTTCTTCCTCTTCTGCACATCCGTTGTATCTCGTCTGTGTTTTGAGTCGACTCAAAACACACCTTTTGCGTCGACTCAAAACACACCGGGAGCTCTGCTGCTACAATCTCGTTCATTCCATATCCCAATGCCCCTTTGTTCCTCTTCTGCACATCCGTTGTATCTCGTCTTGTATCCTTGCACGCCCCTTGATTAATTCCTTCTATCAACCCCCCTTCTCCTTTCCAACAGAGGCTAATGCAAGGGCCGCAGCAGAGGAGGCCGCAGCAGCAAGAGCGAGGAAGAAAGAGGGGATTGGTGGGAGAATCAATTTATGGTGGGAAGACGAGGAGGAGGCAGAGGAGGAAGAAGAGGAAGATGAGGAGGAAGAGGATGGGGGAGAAAGAAGTAAAGGGAGGATGGAAAGGAGTGTGAGGGGGAGGAGCGAGGGGAGGGGGAGTGAGAGAGGGAGGGTGGAGTGGAGCAGGGAGGGAGTGAGGCAGAAGTATATGTACGGTCCCTATGGGCCGTATGGGGGAAGGGCGCCGATGGTGGGGAAGCATAAGAAGGCAAAGATCACGGACGAGTGGGTGATCTCTGAGTTCAGCTCGGTTCAGAGCGATGAAGGTGGGTGCAGAGCAGTGACAGTGGGTTGCAGAGCGGTGGAGGTGGGTCTAGAGCGGTAAGGATGGCGTGTGTGTTGTACCTGTATGGTCTGTATGGCCTGTATGGGGGGAGGACGCCGATGGTGGGGAAACACAAGAAAGCCAAGATCACGGACGAGTGGGTGATCTCTGAGTTCAGCTCGGTGCAAACTGATGAAGGTCGGTGGTCGGTGCAGAGCGGTCACAATGGGTGTGTGTGTGTATCCCTATGGCCCGTAGACTTTTGAGTCGACTCAAGCCACCTGCAGAGCGGTCACAATGGGTGTGTGTGTGTCCCTATGGCCCCTATTGGGGGAGGGCGCCGATGGTTGGGAAGCACAAAAGGGCAAAGGTTAGGGGCCGGTGTGTGATCTCAGAGTTCAGCTTGGTTCAGAGTGATGAAGGTGGGTGCTGAGCGGTGACTGCATAGGGCAATGGCAACTTGACTCCTTTCTCTCCATTCCCCTGCACCTTGTTTGGTCGGCCTACATCCTAAGCCCTCCCTCCCAGTTTAAATCGGGTGGTTTCGAGCCGCTGCAAGCCTTCTAAGAGATAAAGAACGATCTATAGAACTAAGTCTGCCGATACTAATCTGAAAGTGAGGGAAATCGTAAGAAAAAAGTCTTAGTCAGAACGCCAGACGCACTGGGCCCGGATGTCGCGTGCGAACGCGTTTCGGCCAACTAAGGCCTTCATCAGCGCAACTTTTTGATCGGCCTACATCCTAAGCCCTCCCTCCCCCTCTCACCTCTCTTCCCATCCTCTCCCCTCCCCAACCCCACCTTCAGAGCAGGAGAGCGCAGAGCAGAACCACATGTGTGTGTGTGCTCGCTACGAGAAAGTTTTGAGTCGACTCAAAACTCGACACATGTGTGCTCGCTACGAGAAAGCACTCGACTCCTCCTTTTCCACTCCACCCACCACCCCAGCCACTCGAGACACTCGGACCAAAACTCAAGCTGTACTGTAGCCACTCTTGCTCTCTGTGTTGCATCCATCCCCCCCAACCCCAACAGAGCAGGAGAGCGCAGAGCAGAGCAGAACCACATGTGTGCTCGGTATGAGAAGGCTCTCGACTCCATCCTCTCCATTCCAACCGATCTAACCACACCTCATGCTGTCGCCACACTACCCTCCGTGTGTCCCTGCCCCACCAACAGAGCAGGAGAGCGCAGAGCAGAACCACATGTGTGCTCGCTACGAGAAAGCCCTCGACTCCTTCCTCTCTACACCAACCACTGCAACTGCCGCAACCACTGCAGCCACACAACGCTCTCAGCAGCCAGGGGCAGCTTTAGAGCCAGACCTGCTGTTTGTGTTTGCAAGGAAGAAGCAGACGCCACTCGATTCAGGCGGAACAGTGGACCCCAAGTCTCGACCCAAATCCCGAGTGAGTGTTGCTGTTGTTGCTCAAACATCCGTTTGTTCTCAGCAGCCAGGAGCAGCTTTGGAACCAGATCTGCTGTTTGTGTTTGCACGGAAGAAGCAGACGCCACTCGATTCGGACGCAACGGCGGAGCCCAAATCTCGACCCAAGTCCCGAGTGAGTGTTGCTGTTGTTTGCTCAAACATCCGTTTGTTCTCAGCAGCCAGGAGCAGCTTTGGAACCAGATCTGCTGTTTGTGTTTGCACGGAAGAAGCAGACGCCACTCGATTCGGACGCAACGGCGGAGCCCAAATCTCGACCCAAGTCCCGAGTGAGTACCACTGCTTTCAACAACTAAGGGCAGCTATGGAACCAGGGATAGGGCTTGGTGAACCACGAATGGCTGTTGAACCGGATCTGCTGTTTGTGTTTGCACGGAAGAAGCAGACGCCACTCGATTCAGATGCGACAGGGTAGTCCAAATTTCAATCCTAGTCTCGAGTAAGTGTTGCTGTTGTTGCCTCTTTTTGTATCGTAATTTGTGTTGCCTGCTGCCTCTATTTTAACGCATTCTTCTGTTTCCCCCCCCACACCTTCGCTCCCCCCTCCCGCACCAGCCCACGTGGCTGCAGTGGACCCTTATCGCTCAACTCACCCTCCCGCCTCTCATCCTCACCACTGTCTTCTCTGTCAAATCGACCCTCAAACCTCATCCTCTCTTCCCCTGTTACTGCCCCACCCCCTCCTCACCCTCCCCTCCCCCCACCAGCCCCCATGGCTGCAGTGGACGCTCGCCGCTCAAAACGCCCTGCCGCCTCTCACACTCACCACTGCCATCTCTGCTGAAAGCAACCCCCTGTCCTGAATCCTGATACTCTTTTTCCCCTGCTATCCCCTCCTCTCCCCTCCCCTCCCCTCCCCCACCAGCCCCCTTGGCTGCAGTGGACGCTTGTCGCCCAGCTCGCCCTGCCGCCTCTCGCCCTCACCACTGCCCTTCACGAGATCCGAGACACTGCTACTGATCTTGCGGGCTACCCTGCTTCTATACACGATGCCAGGAGCACAGGTGGCCCTGCTGGTATGACTTTTGAGAGGTCTCAAAAGTCGTCAGATTCTACGGGCAAACCTGCTGCTATACACGATGCTGGGAGCTCAGATGGGGCTGTTGTTGGTGAGGTCAACACGGGTCGAGCAGCAACCGGAGCAGCTATTAATGTTAACTCAGCTTCATCTGATTCACCTGCTGCTGCATCTGTTGTTGCTTCAGACGCAGCAGGAGTCTGGTTCTCAAACCAGAAAATGGATGAGCATGTACAGAGGTGGCTGATGGGGCGGCTACCTAAGAGAGCATGGAGTGACGTGGCTCAGTGCGTGGCCTGGTACCGACCAGACCTTATCTTTACTCGCCATCCCGCTTTTGAGGTACGTAGTATGTGCTTGCGCTGCGAGCACAGCAGGAGTCTGGTTGTCAGGGCAGAAAATGGATGAGCATGTACAGAGGTGCCTGATGGGCCGCCTACCCAAGAGGGCGTGGAATGACGTGGCTCAGTGTGTTGCCTGGTGCCGACCAGACTTGGGTTTTACTCGCCACTCTGCCTTTGAGGTGTGTATGGTTGACTTGAATTAGGGTTTTAAAGCGGTTCAGATAGGTGCAGTGAGAGTAGGGTGCAGGGGTGGTTGATGGGACGGATACCCAAGAGGGCATGGAGTGACGTGGCTCAGTGTGTTGCCTGGTGCCGACCAGACTTAATTTTTCCCCGCCACCCTTCTTTTGAGGTATGTCTTGGTGGTGTAACGGGTGTTCAAAGTGGTTCAGAGTGGTGTAGAGAGAGCAGGGCGCAGAGGTGGCTGATGGGTCGGATACCCAAGAGGGCAAGGAGTGACGTGGCTCAGTGAGTGGCCTGGTACCGACCAGACCTAGACATCCAGCTTTCGAGGTATGTACTGCGTGTCTGCACTGGTTTGTGAGTGGTTCAAATCAGTTCAACGCGGTTTAGAGCGGTTATTAATGGTGCAGGGGCGTGCAGAGAGGGCAGGGTGCAGAGGTGGCTCATACATTGTGTTCACCAGGCACGCTTCTGGCATCCTTCTGACACGCTTCTGACATCCTTCTGACACGCTTCTGACATGCTTCCAACATGGTTCTCACAAGCGTGTGCTGTTCTCCTCTCCTCTGCTGCAGGTCCGCTTTGAACCACAGAAGCCTTTCTTCCAGCGCCTCTTCCCAGAGCTCTTCCCGTCCCTTGAACCACAATCACAATCACAATCACAACTACATTCACTTCAGTCACGAGTGCTTGTGAGCAACTTGAAGCAGGCCCTTGGTTTACCAGCCGCCGCCACGCGTGCTGCTGTGCTGGCAGCGTACGAGGCCGCCACGTGGCGGCAGCAGGCCTCCATCCTGCGCCACGTGGCACGCCTCCAGCTCAGTGCTGACTGGGACGTGCTGGGCTTGTCTGCTGCTTCAGCAGGAGGATACATTGTGGCAGGCGATGGTGACAATAGGGGTGGTGACAATAGCGATGGTGACAGTGATGAAGACGAATGGGGAGAGCAGGACCAGACGGAGGAGGATGAAGAGGACGAGGGAGAGAGCAGAGAGGAGGGAGAGGGTGAAGAGAAGGGAGAAGGGAGGGATTCAGAAGTGGAGGAGGGGGAGGAGGAAGATGAGGATTTGGTGTGGTCTGAAGCTGAAGAGCAGAGGGCGCTAGCACGGGATGCAGAGATGCTGAAGCAGCAGCAGGGAGGGCAAGGAATCACGAGTCAGGAACTGTTGTGTGAAGGTTTAACTGGTGGAGGTGACATTGACGTTCTTGCTGGTGGTGGTGCTGCTGCTGTTACAGCTGGAGCTGGTGCCGAGAATGATAATGGCGGCTCGATTAGTGATGGCGGTGATGAGTTGTCTGTAATGGAGCAGACATTGGTTAGGAAAAAAGAAGTGGCAGCTGGGGAGGTGAAAGCAGCAGTGGGGCCGTTTGATTCAGTCATGCTGATTGGGGAGCTGACACTGCTGTATGCTATTGAGAATGGGGAGGAGACATTTTGAGAATCCATTTTGTTATTTGTGATCAATCTTGGGTGGGTCCGCCTGTTCATTTGAATTCTGCTTCAGCTTATTGCTTCAGATCGGCCACTAATTCCACCCCCCTTCATTTTTTCCCTCCCCTGAGATACCGTAGTTCCCTGCTACTAGCTGAGTCAGTGAACCTTCATGACCACGCAGGCTTGACCCAAGTGTCAGAATCCCAGCCACTAACCACTGGGATAAAAGGGCTTGTTTGTGTAGTGAGTGAGTGCGCCCATAACCCCCCAGGCCAACGTGCATGTAACCCTTCCCTAGGATCAATCGGGGATCTCCAGTGGACCTCTGACACCAAGACATGTTTGATTGCAAAGGCTAACACAAGACAGAAGCTTCACAAGTACCAGCACCGGGCCCACTCCTGCCTGATTATATGCATCTGCGGATTCTGCACTCAACATGAGATCGCAAGAACGTGGATACCAGGAGGGGACCAGCAAGACATGTAAAATCAGCAAAAGGTGCTGGTACCCATGAGAATAGCTTTGCCAAATCCGCACAGGCATACTGTACCCGGACAGCCAGCTAATGTCAGGCAGGCTTTAAGTGGCATTATTCTCAACAGCGGAAAATTCTTGAGGGAAGCCATCTTCATCTGAAAGAAAGTCTTCTGCCATCTGTGATTGGACGCTCCTGCAGAGCCAGGCATCCAAAGGCTGCCATCTCACACATATCCAGGAATTCGTCATCCCACATCATGAGCACCTGTAGCACCACGACGCCTACAATCACAGCAAATTTTACTGCATCGGGACTCGTTCGGGTCAAAAGCAGATTTTCTATAGCAGCCATTACGCGGTTTTCGTATTCCGTCATTTTCGCAGCGTGGGATGCATTGAGCTTTTCAATCGTGTCAACTAACAGACCCTGCATTTTGTTGTCCTCGCGCCGTTGCCGAGTCCGCATGTTGGGTTGAGCCCTTGATCGACTTTCTGTTGGATGAACGAACAATGTCAAGAGCAGTTAAGCAAAAAAAAAAGCTCGTCCGAAACCTGCAGCTTTTCAACGGACACTGAGAAGATCAAATAAAATCCACGCATACAAAATGCATCGAATATATGCATGGGAAAGTACCTTGAGATGACAGTGAGTCTGCTCGGGGTGGACTAGCCGCTGGATTGTCTCCAGCGGCCCATGATTCTCTTCGCTGACGCTTGGCATCAGGTGAGGGGGCTTGGTTTTCTAGTTCATCTATTAATACACTTTTAGGAGCATCCTCACGATTGCGGGCCATCGTCAAAGGTGGAAAAATACGATAGAATACAAGAAAACTAACGGTTCTTAGGAGGAATTGCTTAGTGAATAGAAAGGGAACAGGTGACTAGATGTGATTGAAGTAGCTTCTTGGTGACGCCTGCTATAACGGCCTCGTTTCCTGATCAAGGTCGTGCGGTTCGAATTTTACAAGCGTCTTTGCACGGTGTTGTAGGTTGTGGTGGATTAGAATGTGGTTCAGTATGGTGAGAGGTCAAATCCAACCCGAACCACCGCATGTTGGCTGGAAGGGCTATTGGTGGGAGGGATAACGGTTATTCTGGTCTTACCAAGGCGGTCAGTTCGGTTCAGCTTTGGTCTGGCTCGGAGCGAGGGAAGTAGTTCCCGCGCTTTCATCCTCGGTGGGTTACACGAAGAAGCTGATTCGCGAACGAAAGTTTTTGTGAACACCTGTTGCTCACGGTATTGATGGTATAAAGAATGCATTGCTCTTGAAGATTCTATGCTGGGTAGTGATTCAGACGAATGAGTGGTTCTGGTGCCACTCTGTACATGCCTACTGTTTAGCATTGACCTGCAAACCAGCAGTTGGAGTAAGAGATTCAAGAAAGCATATCTTGAATAACCCTCTAAAACATTACCATCCCACAGAAACGGAGACTAGTAAGCAATAAGTGATAAAAAACAGGAAGCCAACAGAACTGCGCTCTTTCCAGCGCATCCATAGGCAGGGGTCTTACCAGGCCTTCAGATTCGTTTTGGGCCACCCTTAGTAATCAGGGTTCTAGGTATAGTCAACCCTGATGCTTAGCGTATTTTTTTCGTTTCCCTGACAAATGCAGGGTATTTATTTTTATGTAAAATGCCAAACTTAGGAAGATCAGCAATTATTGGTCCAGTTGGTTCGATAATAAGGTCGGTCTGGAAGGTTGCAGGATCGATCTCGTTGTCGGGATTGTTTTGCTATAGTGTTTCATCTCGCTACGGACTATTCGGTATTAGTGTTACTGAGCTTTCACACTGTACAGTCAGAGTAATATGTTCCTTACGCTGTTTTCAAAGGGTATTTGAAAACTTACATTTTCTGACCTAGGGTAAAAAATCCACTACCCTGCCTGTGAAAGGGTAACTGAAAAAAAGCGGCCGCCAGTCAGTGCAAAAAGGGTATTTTTGTCAAACATGTATGCTGCATATTGTCTAGGATGTAGTGGGGTAGCCCATATGGGGTACAACCAAATTAGGGTTTCCTACTTGTACTCCTGCATGCTGTTAGTTCATCATCCCTGCTGCCAGATTCTAACATGGTTTCAGAGCACTAAGGTCCGTAGGACCGTTTTTTTTCGGGCCCACCTACCACTGCGGTTACCGCGCTACCCCACGTACCTGCCTGCCTTGCCTTGCCTTGTGACGTGCTGCACTACGCGAGCCGTCCAGCAGCCCTAGCGCTGCCTCCTGCTGCCCTAGGCCAGCGCGCTGCCCCTAGCCGTAAGGCCCGCGCACCGCCCCTACACGCCCTTCAGGCCTGCGCAGCCCGCACCGAGCCGCGCGCAGCCCCCTGCAGCCGCGCACAGCCCCCTGCAGCCGCGCGCAGCCCCCTGCAGCCGCGCGCAGCCCCCTGCAGCCGCGCGCAGCCCCCTGCAGCCGCGCGCAGCCCGCACAGAGCCGCGCGCAGCCCGCTGCAGCCGCGCGCAGCCCGCACCGAGCCGCGCGCAGCCCGCTGCAGCAGCGCGCAGCCCGTACCGAGCCGCGCGCAGCCCGTTGCAGCCGCGCGCAGCCCGCACCGAGCCGCGCGCAGCCCGCTGCGGCAGCGCGCAGCCCGCACAGAGCCGCGCGCAGCCCGCTGCAGCCGCGCGCAGCCCGCACCGAGCCGCACGCGGCCCGCGCGCCGCCCGCAGCAGCCCGCGCGCGGCCCGCAGCAGCCCGCGCCGAGCCGCGCGCGGCTCGCCACTGCCTAACGCGGCACAGCGCGGCCTGCAGCAGCCCAGCGCGCTGTCAGTGCAGCCCGCGCCGAGCCGCGCGCGTCCCTCTGCCTCGGCCCCGACCTGCCGCTGATACGGCCCCGCTCTGCAGCTGCCACGGCCCCGACCTGCCGCTGAAGCGGCCCCGCCCTGCAGCTGCTTCGGCCCTACTCTGCACCGGGTGTTGCGGCCCCGACGTCGCCGCTGTCGTGCGCCTACTCCGCCGCCGCCCGTTGAGCGCCGGCCCTGCTCGCCCGGCGAGCGCCTGCTCTTCCAGCCTTTGGTGAGCGCCTGCCTGCCTGCCTACCGGCCTGCCTGTCTGCCTGCCTGCCTGCCGGCCTGCCTGTCTGCCTGCCTGCCAGCCTGCCGGCCTGCCTGTCTGCTTGCCTGCCTGCCGGCGTGCCTGCCTGCCCGCCTGCCTGCCGGCCTGCCGGCCTGCCTGCCTGCCGGCCTGTCTGTCTGCCTGCCTGCCAGCCTGCCTACCGGCCTGCCTGCCTGCCTGCCGGCCTGTCTGTCTGCCTGCCTGCCTGCCTGCCTGCCGGCCTGTCTGTCTGTCTGCCTGCCGGCCTGCCTGCCTGTCGGCCTGCCGCGCCTGCCCTGCCCGCGCTACTGCTGCTGCTACTGCTACTGGCCGGTGGCCAGATGCAGCCCCAGCGACGTTCACGAGAGTCTCTCACGCCCCAGCAGCTTAGTGAGTGGTATACTAGCTGGGGTTGTCGCGGTAGCAGTCGTAGCTGTCCCCCTGGAGCTGGTCAGTTGGGAGCGTCCGGCAGTGGCCAGCTGCAGCTGCAGCGGCGTCCTCGCGAGACACTTACGTCCCGGCAGCTCCACAAGTGGTACGCTCAGTTTAGCAGGTCTACGCGTACAGTTCGCTGCCAGTACGTCATTCGCACAGGTGATCGGGTTAGTCAGCCTTGCGGGACGCTTGGTCACACACAGTCCCGCTGCTTCGCCCGTCTGAGCGACGACTGGCGTACAGTGTTTGGAGACGAGGCTGAGCTCCCCGACTGGCTGGAGCTGCTTGGACGGAGGGTAGATATCTTTGCTCCTGACTATGATGCTATTCTCACTGCCATGTATGCATTATCTACTAGTGTTGACCGTGCCTGTTACCTGTGCGTCCCGCCTGACCCTGGTATAGCGCCTGCTGCTCCCGGTACTGGTGAGGCTGCTGCCCTAGGTGCTCGTGCGTCTCCTCCTCTGGGTCCTGGTGAGGCTGCTGCTCTAGGTGCCGGTATGTCTCCTGCTCCAGGTGCTGGTGAGTCTGCTCTCTCTGGGTCTGCGCCTGCTGCGGCCTTGTACACCTTCACGCTGGACTCAGGTGCTTCCCGCTCCTTCTTTCGCGACTGTACCACACTCACGCCGCTTAGTCGGCCGGTTCCAGTCTCCCTGGCGGACCCCTCCGGGGGTCCGGTCCTTGCCCACTACTCCACGGTTCTACCGTGTCCGGCCGCCACGTCTGGCTTGTTGTCAGGTCTTTACCTCCCCTCGTTCTCTACGAACTTGGTGAGTGGAGCTGACCTCCAGGATAGGGGGGTGCACCAGTTCACTCCTGCGAGTCAGCGAGTGACTCACTGTACGTGTGCTCGGACCGGCCGACATCTGGCCACGTTTTCCCGTGCGCCTGGCTCGAGTCTGTACACCCTGACCACTGAGTCCCCTCAGGTAGCTGCGTCTGCGTCTGCGTCAGGTCAGCCGACGGCCACCTGCGAGTGTCGCGCTTTGTCGCACCAAACCCTCCTATGGCACCACCGCCTTGATCACCCCTCGGTGCAGCGCCTTCGTGGCATG